ACCACGAACGGTGTGGAGAAAGGTAAGGAATCCCTTTAAGTAGGGAAATCATGCCCCTCTCACAATTCCAGGCAAAAGTCTTAATACACACACACACACACACACATACACATATATATATATATATACACACACTACAGAGGTGTTGAATGCTTCAATCTGATTGGTTGACGAACGTTCTAAGGTGTGCATTATTTTCAGGGAGACGCACGGCTAAAGTAGTTCCAGAAAGGTCTTGACCGCCTTCCAGTTGTGTAAGAATTTAGTTATACATTCGTTTTAATGACAAAAACTTGACAAACGTCTTGAAATACATCATCTGAACAATGTCTCGAGGTGTGGTAACTGTAGAATAATTGATGACAGGTCGTTGAATTATTAGAAAAATAATGCACACCCGAGGTGTAATGGCCACTCCGCTTCGCGTTGTGACCGCATTACCACCTCGGGTGTGCATTATTTTTCTAATAATTCAATGGCCCATCATCAATTATTCCTTACATATATTTAGCGCCAAAAGAGGCTCCTCCTTTCCCCCAGCCTGCGCCTCTCTCCTCCTCTCCCCCAGCCTGCGCCTCTCTCCTCCTCTCCCCCAGCCTGCGCCTCTCTCCTCCTCTCCCCCAGCCTGCACCTCTCTCCTCCTCTCCCCCAGCCTGCACCTCTCTCCTCCTCTCCCCCAGCCTGCACCTCTCTCCTCCTCTCCCCCAGCCTGCGCCTCTCTCCTCCTCTCCCCCAGTCTGCACCTCCTCTTCCTCTCCCCCAGCCTGCGCCTATCTCCTCCTCTCCCCCAGCCTGCGCCTCTCTCCTCCTCTCCCCCAGCCTGCGCCTCTCTCCTCCTCTCCCCCAGCCTGCGCCTCTCTCCTCCTCTCCCCCAGCCTGCGCCTATCTCCTCCTCTCCCCCAGCCTGCGCCTATCTCCTCCTCTCCCCCAGCCTGCGCCTCTCTCCTCCTCTCCCCCAGTCTGCACCTCCTCTTCCTCTCCTCCATCGATGCCGCTGGACTCCTCATAGTCTCCGATGGAGGACGAGCGGGTAAGCTGCAGGGCCGTGTCCGGGGCCGGGGAGCTCACGGAGTCACAGAGCTCCTCATTCATGGTGCAGCCCGCCAGGAGGACACTGTACGGCGTGCTGTCAGATCTCCCTACCCGGTCAATATGGCCTACCATCGTCACTTCCGGTGATGCGCCCTCAGCGGAAGTGACGAAAACCACCCAAACTCCAATTGCAGACAGGTTCCAGAGGGGATCAGAGATGGAACCCTGACACTGCTCCTGTTACATCACATTCCACTGTACTCCTCCTCAATTATTTCATTAAAACGAATCTCACTAGCAATTTTTAATATAACTTTTGTAGTTTCCCAGAGCCCCCAGAGAGTAATGGTGATACATTGGTAATATTGATAAAGACTTATAAAGCAAAAACAATGCCCCAAAGCTAAAGAAAAATGGGCAAGTGATTTAAAAATACAGATAGAAACAAAAGACTGGTACACTGCTATTCAATCCACATATCCTCCATTACATTGTCTGAATATAATGGAGACTCAATATAAAATAATTAATAGATGGTACATAACACCCTGGAGACAACCCTCAAAATAATTATAAATGTTGGAGAGGTGAACATGACAGGGCAGATGAAATATATATCTGGTGGGAATGCCCAACAATTAAAAGAGGCTGGGATACGATTCTTCTTGTAGTTCACAATTTACTTAATTTGAAACAGACATAGTCAGTAGATATCACCCTTCTTCATTTAAACTTGCCAAGGATTCCTAAATATAAAAAAAATGGCTTCTAATACATATATTGATGGCCTTTAAAGGCTCCATTGCAAACAATTGGAAAACAGATAAAGTGGACACCTGGCCACAAATTAGAGAAAGAGTACTATCCTATGTGGAATGGAGCGTGCAATCACCTCAAATTTCTGTATTAACTACAAAAAATATAAAATATGGGATAATTGGATAACAGTCCTTAATAATCAGACTCTTGAAAGGTCAAAAAGGGGTAAAAAATGGCATGGATATTAATGAATACTTTTCATTTGCTTTCTATTTTTTTCCATAATTGTTCAGCCAGGATGAAGATCTGGCATGAAAGATGAAAGTATGTGTAATTTATTGGATGCAATAATAAGACACATCCACATTGTATACTATAATTAAGTAAGAACGCCAGTTTAATCCAGAAAGGAATATGTAACTGTTTTACGAAGTTGTAATCATTATGATAAATGAGATATCAAGATAATAATTCTGAATAAATAATTACAGGAGTTATGAGACCCTAAGAAAGAAAGGGAAGATAAGCTAGAAAGAAAACAAGGAGAGATAGAGAGAAAAAGAAAAGGAAAGAAAAAGAAAGGAAAGAAAAAAAGAAACCCTGATCTTTACCTACTAATTAATTCATATTTTCCAGTGCTGCTACCGTTAAGCTATAGAGTTGTCTGTATAGGTGTAAGTTTGTATAAGTTTGTTCTAACATTTGAAATAATATTTTTACATCAATAATATTTTTATTGACATTGTCACATTTTTGTATAAGATGGAAAAAAAATTAATAAAAATAAAATAAAATACAGAGTAGATAATAATCACTGCGTGTATAGTTTTCTTTGCAAGCAGATCTTTGCTTCCCTGTTCTATGTACAACACTCAATGCAAATAAATTAAGTTTGATGAGGAAAAAATGCAAGTAAACAAAAATGTCAACACACAAAAAGACAGATGGCACTTGTTCAGGAAGCAATAGAGAACTTCTTATGAGCGGAGTACAAATGGCACTTAATATGTATATTATATTTTAAAGTCCTTCAATGTTTATATTAAGTTGGAATAATTAAAATGTATGTGCTTTGTGGAAAGAGTAAAAAAATTTAAAAAAAAAATAATTTCTTGTATAAAGATTTATTTTGCTCCAAAATATCTACGTTTCAGTTCCGATCAGGAACTTTCATCAAAACAACAGACAGTGATGTTTTTTGTCCTGATGAAAGTTCCTGATCGGAACTGAAAAGTCGATATTTTGGAGTAAAAGAAATCTTTATACAAGAAATCCTAGGAGTGCTGATTTGTTTTTTGTCCTGCATATTTAGTGCAATCGAGCAACGGGTTGAAAGTGTTGTAAGTAGGAGTGCAAGGCTCTTTTCGCTTTTTATAAAAAAATATATTCAGGTATATTTATCTAGAATAACAAAAACGTCCAATAGAGATAGAGTCATTACACAGACATTAAAACCGAGCGGGTGCGGTCTATGCACAGGCCAGCATGCTTACTCATGCTTACAAAATCCAATGCCCTTCCTCCAAATTGGAGGACTGGTATTGGACTCGCCAAGTTGCTTACACTAAAGGTCGTAAGCAACTTGAGATTCTTCTATGGATGGATCAGGAGGAAGTAAGTGTCCCGGATTAGGGACTCGAAAGGTTGCATACTTAGGAGGTTATTGAAAATCTGGATTTTGTTTAAAAAGAAAAGTCAGTTGGAAAAAAATATAATTAAGGCAGTCCCTGTTTCTATATTTGAAGATCTGATTAGAGATCTGAACATATCATCATGGACAAATAAAGAAAATATAAAAGCTATACACCAGTACCCCAAATGGGGATTTAAAAAAGATGGTACTATATATTGGTTCCAGAGAAGTTTCTCAAGGCATGGACCAGTTGGTCAAAAGATGTAGGGATCGAGTGTGAGTGGAAATTATGGTCTGAAAATTGGAGTTTCACATAAAGAGCCACACACTGTCTACATATATTCAGGAACTCCAATTTAAGATAATGTTGAAATGGTATCTAGTCCCACAAACGATTCACAAGTTTAACCCACTAATGTCTGATGTATGTTGGCGATGTGAAGAGAGTACTGGAAATTACATACACATGTGGTGGGAGTGCAAACTCAAACACACCTAGGATGAGATTTTCAGGGTGATTGCTGGTCTGATTGCAGTCAGCCCTCATCCAAAAATAGCACTACTTCATTGCGGGCTTAGGACCATACCAGCAGCAATAGGAGTTTAGTTATTCATATCCGCCTGGCTATGAAGTTAATAAATGTGTGGGTGCTGTGTGCTGTATGTGTGTGTGTTCAGGGGGTGGGGGTACATTACTTAATATCCCCCCTCTCTTCTTACCTTATGTAGGGAGGTTCTTGTTCCTGCTGCTTTCCCTGGTGGTCCATTGGAGAGTGAACTCTAGTCCCTGGGGCTAGCGTTCACTCTCACGAGATCTGAGCGTTGCCATGGCAACGCTCAGATCTCACGAGAAGAACCCGGCAAAGCTGCTGGTTGAGCTCCCCGGGTCCTCTCCTGCCTCCCTCCATGCTGCAGTGGGGAGGGAGGCTTAGAGCAGAGCCGGCGCTATCCGAGATCTCCCCTGCTGGTCTAACTCCATAGGCGTGCCGCGGGGATTAGGGTGTGCCCAGGCACACCCCGTGCGCACGCCTATGTGCACACACCTGTCAAGTCATTGCTTTTCCCACAGAAATCTCACACTTGCAGTGCTGTTACTACTGCAAGAGATTCTGTATGGGCATATGCAAATTAGTTTAACAAATAAGCACTGTTTTAACTCATTATTAGGGACTGTTAGAAGTGCCGCCACAATATTATATTAAGGAAAATATTAGGAAAAATTAAACTTATGATGTATAAAATAATAAATATCAAATGGAGAATATGGTAAATAACAATTTTCCTTGGAATACACTTTATTATGTACTAGTAATACAACTGCATGAGAGCATCAGAAATGTAATACAGTGACGTCACAGACACGCGCTGACCCGGACGTGGGGCAAGCAGTACCCATAATGGCGATCTTTGTTTACCGGAAGTGGGGCAGGCACTGTCACTAGAAGTTCGCTTTGTCAAACCGGAAGTGGGGCATGCAGTACCCACAGTGTCGCGCTTTGTTAGCCGGAAGTGGGGCTGGAACTGCCCCTTAGTGTCGCAACGATCGCGTCGTGAGGGAATAAACTCGAGCTTCAAAATGGCGGCAGCGCCAGATGAGGCGAGTGTGTCGGTGAAGACGGAGCCCGAGCTGCCGGAGGATGCCAAGAGTGACAGCCTGGGCGGCCATGAGCACGGTGCCCCTGGGCTGGGGAACGGCAATGGGTCCTCCCCGAGCCCCGCCAGCCCCCCCGCGGCCGCCCCCCCGGCCGCCCCGGCCCCCGGAGCCGAGCTCCCAGACCGCCAGACCCTGCTCGCCGTGCTGCAATTCCTCAGGAAAAACAACCTGAAGGACTCGGTGGACATCCTGCGGCGGGAGACCGGGCTGCTGGAGGAGGACCTGGCCGCCACCCTGAGCCCGGAGCGGGCGGGGGACACCGAGGGCACCGAGCACAGTCTGCTGAGCCGGGTAACCGGGGGGAGCTCGGGGACCGGGAACTGTGTGACCGGCGGGACTGCCACCAGCGGGGCTCCGGGGAAAGGTGAGACCGATATAACATATAATCAATATAATAATAATAATATTCTATATAATATAATACCGGGAACTGTGTGACCGGAGGGACTGCCACCAGCGGGGCTCCCGGGAAAGGTGAGACCGATATAATATATAATCAATATAATAATAATAATATTCTATATAATATAATACTGGGAACTGTGTGACCGGAGGGACTGCCACCAGCGGGGCTCCGGGGAAAGGTGAGACCGATATAACATATAATCAATATAATAATAATAATATTCTATATAATATAATACCGGGAACTGTGTGACCGGAGGGACTGCCACCAGCGGGGCTCCGGGGAAAGGTGAGACCAATATAACATATAATCAATATAATAATAATAATAATAATCTATATAATATAATACCGGGAACTGTGTGACCGGAGGGACTGCCACCAGCGGGGCTCCGGGGAAAGGTGAGACCGATATAACATATAATCAATATAATAATAATAATAATCTATATAATATAATACTGGGAACTGTGTGACCGGAGGGACCGCCACCAGCGGGGCTCCGGGGAAAGGTGAGACTGGGTCAGATAAAAAATAATAATAATAATCTATATAATATAATACCGGGAACTGTGTGACCGGCGGGACTGCCCCCAGCGGGGCTCCCGGGAAAGGTGAGACCGATATAACATATAATCAATATAATAATAATAATCTATATAATATAATACTGGGAACTGTGTGACCGGAGGGACCGCCACCAGCGGGGCTCCGGGGAAAGGTGAGACTGGGTCAGATTAATAATAATAATCTATATAATATAATACCGGGAACTGTGTGACCGGAGGGACTGCCACCAGCGGGGCTCCCGGGAAAGGTGAGACCAATATAACATATAATCAATATAATAATAATAATAATAATAATAATAATAATAATAATAATAATAATAATAATAATAATAATAATAATAATCTATATAATATAATACTGGGAACTGTGTGACCGGCGGGACTGCCACCAGCGGGGCTCCGGGGAAAGGTGAGACCGATATAACATATAATCAAAATAATAATAATAATCTATATAATATAATACCGGGAACTGTGTGACCGGCGGGACTGCCACCAGCGGGGCTCCCGGGAAAGGTGAGACCGATATAACATATAATCAATATAATAATAATAATAATCTATATAATATAATACTGGGAACTGTGTGACCGGAGGGACCGCCACCAGCGGGGCTCCGGGGAAAGGTGAGACTGGGTCAGATTAATAATAATAATCTATATAATATAATACCGGGAACTGTGTGACCGGAGGGACTGCCACCAGCGGGGCTCCCGGGAAAGGTGAGACCAATATAACATATAATCAATATAATAATAATAATAATCTATATAATATAATACTGGGAACTGTGTGACCGGAGGGACCGCCACCAGCGGGGCTCCCGGGAAAGGTGAGACCGATATAACATATAATCAATATAATAATAATAATATTCTATATAATATAATACCGGGAACTGTGTGACCGGCGGGACTGCCACCAGCGGGGCTCCGGGGAAAGGTGAGACTGGGTCAGATTAATAATAATAATAATCTCTATAATATAATACCGGGAACTGTGTGACCAGCGGGACTGCCACCAGCGGGGCTCCCGGGAAAGGTGAGACCGATATAACATATAATCAATATAATAATAATAATAATCTATATAATATAATACTGGGAACTGTGTGACCGGAGGGACCGCCACCAGCTGGGCTCCCGGGAAAGGTGAGACCGATATAATATATAATCAATATAATAATAATAATCCTATATAATATAATACTGGGAACTGTGTGACCAGCGGGACTGCCACCAGCGGGGCTCCGGGGAAAGGTGAGACCGATATAATATATATAATATAATAATCTATATAATATAATACCGGGAACTGTGTGACCAGCGGGGCTCCGGGGAAAGGTGAGACTGGGTCAGATAAAAAATAATAATAATAATCTATATAATATAATACCGGGAACTGTGTGACCGGAGGGACTGCCACCAGCGGGGCTCCCGGGAAAGGTGAGACCGATATAATATATAATCAATATAATAATATTCTATATAATATAATACCGGGAACTGTGTGACCGGAGGGACTGCCACCAGCGGGGCTCCGGGGAAAGGTGAGACCGATATAATATATAATCAATATAATAATAATATTCTATATAATATAATACCGGGAACTGTGTGACCGGAGGGACTGCCACCAGCGGGGCTCCGGGGAAAGGTGAGACCGATATAATATATAATCAATATAATAATAATATTCTATATAATATAATACCGGGAACTGTGTGACCGGAGGGACTGCCACCAGCGGGGCTCCGGGGAAAGGTGAGACCGATATAATATATAATCAATATAATAATAATAATAATAATAATAATCTATATAATATAATACCGGGAACTGTGTGACCGGCGGGACTGCCCCCAGCGGGGCACCGGGGAAAGGTGAGACCGATATAACATATAATAATCTATATAATATAATACCGGGAACTGTGTGACCAGCGGGGCTCCGGGGAAAGGTGAGACTGGGTCAGATAAAAAATAATAATAATAATCTATATAATATAATACCGGGAACTGTGTGACCGGAGGGACTGCCACCAGCAGGGCTCCCGGGAAAGGTGAGACCGATATAATATATAATCAATATAATAATAATATTCTATATAATATAATACTGGGAACTGTGTGACCGGAGGGACTGCCACCAGCGGGGCTCCGGGGAAAGGTGAGACCGATATAATATATAATAATAATAATAATCTATATAATATAATACCGGGAACTGTGTGACCGGAGGGACTGCCACCAGCGGGGCTCCGGGGACAGGTGAGACCGATATAACATATAATAAATATATAATATAATAATCTATATAATATAATACTGGGAACTGTGTGACCGGAGGGACTGCCACCAGCGGGGCTCCGGGGAAAGGTGAGACCGATATAATATATAATAATAATCTATATAATACCGGGAACTGTGTGACCGGAGGGACTGCCACCAGCGGGGCTCCGGGGAAAGGTGAGACTGATATAATATATAATATAATAATCCTATATAATATAATACCGGGAACTGTGTGACCAGCGGGACTGCCCCCAGCAGGGCTCCGGGGAAAGGTGAGACCGATATAACATATAACCAATATATAATATAATAATCCTATATAATATAATACCGGGAACTGTGTGACCAGCGGGACTGCCCCCAGCAGGGCTCCAGGGAAAGGTGAGACCGATATAATATATAATCAATATATAATCTATATAATATAATACCGGGAACTGTGTGACCGGCGGGACTGCTCCCAGCGTGGCTCCGGGGAAAGGTGAGACCAATATAACATATAATCAATATATAATAATCTATTTATATACCGGGGCTCCAGGGAAAGGTGAGACCGGGACTGTCAGATATAATATATAATATAATCCATATAATACCGGGGAAAGGTGAGACCGGGACTGTCAGATATAATATATAATATAATCCATATAATACCGGGGAAAGGTGAGACCGGGACTGTCAGATATATAATATAATACCGAGGTTCTAGGGAAAGGGGCGACCGGGACTGTCAGATATAATATATAATCTATATAATACCCGGACTGCCAGATATAATATAATCTATGTGAGACCGGGGATACCGGGTCAGATATAATATATAATACCGGGACTGTCAGATATAATATATAATGTAATCTATATAATACCGGGACTGTCAGATATAATATATATAATCTATATAATACCGGGACTGCGGGGAAAGGTGAGACCGGGATTGTCTGATATAATACCGGGACTGTCAGATATAATATATAATACCGGGGCTATGGGGAAAGGTGAGAAACCGGGACTGTCAGATATATAATATAATGTAATCTATATAATACCGGGGCTCCGGGGAAAGGTGAGACCAGGACTGTCAGATATAATATATAATGTAATACTGGGACTGTCAGATATATAATATAATGTAATTAATATAATATAATACCTGGGGAAAGGTGAGACCAGGGATACCGGCTCAGATATCACATAATCTATATAATACCAGGACTGTCAGATATAATATAATCTATATAATATAATACCGGGGCTCCGGGGAAAGGTGATACCGGGTCATATATAATATATCATGTAATCTATATAATATAATACCCGGACTATCAAATATAATCTATATAATACCAGGACTGCGGGTAAAAGTGAGACCGGGACTGTCAGATATAATATATAATCTCTATAATACTGGGACTGCCAGATATAATCTATATAATACCGGGGATACCGGGTCAGATATAATATATAATACCGGGACTGTCAGATATAATGTAATCTATATAATATAATCTAATACCGGGACTGTCAAATATAATCTAATCTATATAATACCGGGACTGTTAGATATAAAATATACCGGGACTGCGGGGAAAGGTGAGACCGGGGATACAGATATAATATATAATCTATGTAATACCAGGACTGTGGGGAAAGGTGAGACTGGGAATACAGGGTTAGTTGTAATATATAGATATCTCTATCTCATCATTTAAGGTGAGACTGAAATGTCAGCCACAAATTTGATTGTCCTACTGTTTCTACTGGGAAAGGTGTGCTTAGGGGTGGGCTAATGCAGAGTCAGCTGGCTCTACTCAGTGTAAGGCAGGGCCAGCATCAATGTCAATCCCTGTAGATGAATTTTACTGTTACTGAGTAAGTCAATCAGTTCTATGGGTGGTTTTTGCTTTTTCCACATCTTCCTTTTCTTTTTGGATACAACAATCCAAAATCGTTGAGCCCTAAGAGTTCTTGAAACACTAGATTTTCCTGTACTGACGGCTGGAGCAATGTCTCTGTCATAGATGTGTGGTCTTTTGAGGACCTGACATGGCTTTTATGCTGCATTGTGCACAATATTTAAATTTTATTTACAATAGAATATTGTTGGGGGGTGGTGGTGGTAAGGTTAGTAATTATGTTAGGTACTTGAACATATTAGCAGAAACAAATGACTTGCTAGCCTGTCAATCATAAGTACAAATTCGCACAAAACAAAGCATTTATTAATTTCATTGTTGGAAATAAGATTTAAAACACTATACATACACGTGAATACTTCAAATGATATATTTTTTGGTTTTCGTAGTTTTGATAAGTAGTGGCCAACAGGACCAGCCCGATGTAAGTGCCGTGCTGTCTGCATACACGCAGCAAGGAGACCCGGCCTTGTATGAGGAATATTATAGCGGCCTGAAGCAGTTTATAGAGTCCGTGTTAGACTGCCACCGGGCAGAGCTGTCCCAGTTATTCTACCCACTGTTTGTGCACATGTATCTGGAACTTGTATACAATGAAAATGAAAAAGAAGCAAAGTCTTTTTTTGCAAGGTGGGTATTATTCTGCATTGTATGTGACATGCCCTGTGTAAGAAAAATGTAACAAATCCTAAATGTTCGTTTGCCACCAACTGATCAAATTAATGAGAAAATGTGAATATAATACTTTTACATGTACTTTCTAACTGTAGTGTAGAGTATAACTTGATTGTTATGTAATGTACGCAGAATTCCACTGATTATTTATTTTTCCTTTATGAAAGTGTCCTTTATAGGAATATATAGTTGCATTGTTTTTACAAACTGCTAAACTGGTTCTTTGTGTGAGTTCACATTAATTGCTTAGCACATTTCTGCTTGTAACTGCACATTTATACACGTAATGCAAATTGTAAGAATACACTTTATCAATTCCTTTTTGAAAAGATTTCATGGAGACCAGGAGTGTTACTATGAAGATGACCTTCGAATTTTAGCCAGCCTTTCCAAGAAAGAGCATATGAAGGGCAACGAAACCATGCTGGATTTCCGAACTAGTAAATTTGTGTTGCGGATATCTCGTGACTCCTACCAGCTTCTAAAGCGCCATCTGCAGGAACGTCAGAACAATCAGATATGGAGCATTGTTCAGGAGCACTTGTACATTGACATCTTTGATGGAATGCCTCGCAGTAAACAGCAGATTGATGCAATGGCAGGCAGCTTATCTGGAGAGGCAAAACGAGAGGCTAACAAAGTCAAGGTAGAGAACGTGTTGTGAAGATGGTGTTTGGTTAAGGTTACCCTAGGCATATTTTTCTTATTGATGTATACTAGTAAATATGTTTAACTTTTCAATTATATTATTGGAAGGTGTTTTTTGGGCTTTTGAAAGAGCCAGAGATTGAGGTACCTTTGGACGACGAAGATGAGGAAGGAGAAAACGAAGATGGCAAACCAAAGAAAAAGAAGCCTAAAAAAGATAGCATTGGGTCAAAAAGCAAGAAACAAGACCCACACGCTCCCCCACAAAATAGGTACTGTAAAGAGATATATAGATCTAAATATACACTCCTAGTCTTTGGGGCAACCCTAGAAAACGTATCACCTGAGGGTGTCCAACATTGCTGCTTGGCTGGTAACATGTTATACAATACAGTAATAAATGTGGAAGCCATTCCGATGCTGTATAAATGTCACCACTATTTAGGCACGCTTACAAGGCTTTAAAAGAATACATTTTAGTTATGGTTCATCCTTTAATTATTTCTTCTTTGTATTTTAAGGATTCCTCTTCCAGAACTAAAAGACTCTGATAAGCTTGATAAAATTATGATTATGAAGGAAGCAGCAAAACGTGTGCGTCTTGGTCCTGAATGCTTGCCGTCCATCTGTTTTTACACCTTCCTCAATGCCTATCAGGTCTGTACTAATATAACACTAAAGAGACACTTTTAAAATTTTATTTTTTGTGTATTTGACTTGATTCACGGTTTGTCTTCAGTGTGGCTCAGTTGCTGCAATCCTACTTTCCTTATGGTGTGTGTTTAATCAGTTATTGTGTTTGTGGATGCAGGGTTTGACTGCTTTGGATATTACGGATGATTCCAGTCTCATAGCTGGGGGATTTGCAGACTCCACTGTGCGTGTATGGAGTCTCACACCGAAAAAGCTGCGTAGTGTTAAAAATTCATCAGGTAAGGAGAACCAAACAACGAACCATAAGGAAAAATTCAGACCTGCAAGAAATGTATTACTTACGATGTTTAGCTCCGTGAAGAGAGCTTCCTGCTCTTATTCAACAGACTCCAGGCAAGAAGTTAAATGTTTCCAAAACAGTTTGACTCCTTGTAATTTGGAGGAACACCATTGCACTCCTGGCACCATAAGCCCTACTATATGCTTTAGTGGTTATGGTGCTTGGAGTGTTTTTAGTTTTAATATTATAAATATTAAGTGTTTTTCTCAAATTTGGAAAAAAAAATATAGTAATCTATAGTTACCTTTTTATAAATTGTATATAACCTTGGTACTTGATTATCTTTCCCATAAGTTTAATGACATGGTTACTGAACTCTGTTTGTCAGGTGAGATTATTCAGTATAGATTGTCCACTATGGTCTTGAGGTTTGTGTGGTTTAAAACAAAAAAAAAAACTGTTTACAAGTCTTATATCAAATGCATTTTATGCCAATGAAGTTTAAAAAAAATAAATGGCCTCATCTGTAAAATAAGGGACATTAAGCTTTTTATGAATGTCATGATTTTTTATTTTGCAGATCTTGGTCTAATAGACAAGGAATCTGATGATGTTTTGGAGAGAATAATGGATGAGAAAACAGCAAGTGAAATGAAGGTTTTATATGGGCACAGTGGCCCTGTCTATGCAACAAGTTTCAGTCCAGACAGGTAAGACCAAACGTTATGAAACAATGGTAGGAAACTGTTAAGAGTTCCAGATATTTAACAGCTGGCATGATAATCTGGCATACTTAAGCCCTTGGTGTTAACTGGAGAGCTACTTTTTTGCTTTGTGTTGTAGAAGGAAGTATAAGCTTAGTGTGCCCATTAGATCAGACCTTTGTTCTATCCACTACCTTTTCATTGCAGGAATTATTTGTTATCCAGTTCCGAAGATGGCACTGTCAGACTATGGAGTCTTCAGACATTTACTTGCTTGGTGGGCTACAAAGGGCACAATTACCCTGTCTGGGATGCTCAGTTCTCTCCGTACGGTTATTATTTCGTGTCTGGTGGCCATGACAGAGTTGCTCGGTAAGAAACTCTTAAATGTAGCAGCCCTGCTTCATGTATCAAACATATTAAAATGTGCAGTTGTAGGAAGAATGCAAATTGCTTTTATTACGAATTCTCCCAGTAACCCTAATAATCTTTCAGGATCTACAATAATGTATATGTGAGGTTTCTTTTGACCTGATATTATGGATGTTTCTTACCTTTCTATTATTTGGTAGTCTGTGGGACATCTGTACATAAGATCTTTATGCACACTTCTAGTAAAGCACTTTTATATCCCAGGCAGCTAGAGCTCAGAAGATTTAAATACTGTTTATTCTTTAGTACGGGAATGTTCCGTGGGACATATGGCAAAATCTTTTGTGACTTGTGTTTCTTTACTACATCCTGGCACATGAGGCAATTATAATAGCCAAGGAATCCAGCTTTTTATAAATGTATACTTATAAAGATTGAAGCATTAATTTTGTTTTGTTTTAATTCAGACTATTTTAATAAATTGTAAAGTTTGTTAACCAGTTCTTATTTCACATTTTTACCACATGATTTAAATTTGGCCCAAAGTTGTGTTTGGCACGTTCTTCCTTTTCATATTGACCTTTTGTGCAAATGTCCTTCTTAATATTTAATGTGTTTTACATAATACTAATGGGAACTGATATTCTTATCCTAATATATTTAAGTGGAGTCAGTTAATATCCAGTGTTTTTATTCTGTTCCTGTTTTTATTTTGTTTAAGTTTATGGGCTACGGATCACTATCAGCCTCTACGAATATTTGCTGGCCATCTTGCTGATGTTGTTTGCACTCGTTTTCATCCAAATTCCAATTACATTGTCACTGGCTCCACAGATAGGACTGTCCGATTATGGGATGTTTTAAATGGGAACTGTGTGAGAATATTTACAGGACACAAGGTATTGTAACAACAATCTGTATAATCTGTACACACGTAATGCACTTTGAACTGGTTATGTACTATTATTATTTTTACAGGGACCAATTCACACATTGACCTTTACTCCCAATGGAAAGTTTCTTGCATCTGGAGGCACAGACAGTAGAGTTCTGCTGTGGGACATCGGCCATGGCATGCTTGTTGGAGACTTAAAGAGTCACACAAATACAGTCTATGCACTTAAGTTTAGCAGAGATGGGGAGATTCTGGCATCAGGTACTTATGTAAAACATTTCTACTTGATTTTCCACATGATGTTGGTGCTGTCCCCAAAGTGACATGATTTGCAACATTTATACCCATCACGTACCTGTTGACATTGAAGTACAACCTTGGCTTGTAAAAAGAACTGAAGTGGACCTATAGGATGTGCACAACTACTTTTCAGGTTTCTATTATCTGCTCTTCCACATCAACCACAGACTGGTCAGAGTTTTAGGTGCTGGTCAAAATTTCTTTGTCGACCCACTCAGTTTGATACTAACTGAACACTGTGCCCCAAAACGATTTGCATTATAACAATTTCAAAGCATTGTAGTGAATATAATGCTTACTGTGACTATATTGGTAATTTTAAACTGAAATTCAGTACATTTTTAGTCTGCTGTTGGAAATGCCACCTGCAGCAGCATCATTAGCTAGCCTGGAACAAGAATTCCATGTGTGTTTGTCAATTCTGTGAAAGAGTGAACTGTCACTGTTGGCCAATGAATGGTGGTTTTAGCAAAAGTTGGGTACTTATCAGTGGCCATAGAGAACCTGTGGCTCCCTGGTTAGAGGGCAAACTTATTAGATCATTAATACTGAAACTAAGTCATGTTGAATACTGTATAATATGTTTTATGAGGAAAAAACTTGCTCAAATTATTAAACTTTTTTTTATCCTCTGTAGGGTCAATGGATAACACTGTTAAACTATGGGATACTGTTAAAGCATTTGAAGACCTAGAGACTGATGATTTCACAAGCTCAACTGGTCACATAAATTTACATGAAAACTCCCAGGACTTACTGCTTGGCTCTTTTCTGACCAAATCAACACCTGTCATAAATCTCCATTTCACAAGGCGGAACTTATTATTGGCAGCGGGCGCTTATAGTCCACAATGAAAACGCATTCAGTCTTCCATTTTTCATCCATAATAGGGAAAGGTGCTGTTTTGCTATGAAACTACCAAAGGTGATAGATGTCAACCTTGAAGAAAAAAAAGCCTTCTCCACAATGCCTTCTGTATGCCATAGCCTTGGCTGCAAAACTGCCTATGACCCAATAGCTTTGGTTCTAAGGAACCAACTTCATGGTTTAAGCACAGGCCATGTACATAAATGCATTAAGATCCTTCTCTTCAGAAAGTATTAAACTCTGCTTTCATGTTTCTTCTTGTGGAGTGTGCTCAAAACCCAGCATGATCTTTGAAGTGTCTATTGCGGTTTCTGCACTGATTGGAGACTGTCTGGATGTATTGTTGGTGACACTGATATAGTCCTATTTAAATGGGTGTATTGAGAACAGCATCATCTACCTAGTGTCCATGCCCTGTTCAGTCCATAGAATACTTTTTAATATTGGTAAACTGTATATAATTTTTTTTAGGCAAGTTATCACTTTGTTCATGTGAAGTGCAATGCTCAGGTGCTGTAAAGGCTAGATCTGTTTTTTTATGTATATGTAAGTTACTATGGATGAACTAGTATTGCGAGTAGCCACTTTCATTCCAACTATTTATGAACACTTCTCTTTCTTGGGCTAGTGATCTAGCCATCTCTTAAGAACAGCAACATAACCACAGGTGCTAAGAATACTAACCTGTCAAAACTGTTTGTTTTGACAACTTACTTGGAGCCACATCAAGTCAAGCAACAGAAACCAGATTGCTCTGTAAAGAGAAGCAGGAACATGCACCATTGTTGAAGGTGTCAGCTTTGTGTGTTCCTACTTTTCTGTATTGTACAGAAATGTCTGTGGTACCAAGGTAAACTGTCAATGTACAAAACTGACTTCTTATTCAAATAGCACTAGGCTACTACATTGGGCTGTAGTGGTCATGCTGCATGAACTGTTCTCTTAACATTTTTCCCTGTGGTTCTTTATAGTCCCGATTTTATAGCCAATCATGGACCTAAATTTGTAGTAGAGCTATGGTTCAGGATACACCTGACCAAAATTACTTCTACCTCTAAATGGGAACAGTGCAGCTCAAAATTAGCTTAGATGTGGATACTGGAGCAAGAAGTAGCAAGACCATCCCTCTTTCTTGTGACTAAAAGAACACTGATAGATGTTGAAGTGGAATAAAGACATTTATTTAAACATATACCTCCAAACTGCTATGCTGAACTGTAAAGTGAACCGATGGGCAGGACATCACTGCCTCTTTTGTACAGATTTTTTTTTTAAACTTGTTTGTAAATAAAATAATACAAATTCAAGTATTTGGTTGTTTCAGGGGATGGAGTTACAGTTGCGACAGCGGACTTCACATGTTTTGTTGAACGATACCTAAGCAAGAGAAAAGTAGTCAGTTTGAGAAAGTGATGCGGAAAAAGTTCAGGCTTTAATGAGCATCTCTTGAGATTCAATTAGGAAACTTATAGAATGCAGCAGACAAGTGTTAATCACGCAGTGCTAGAATCCCTTTTCAGAATGTAACTCAATAGTCAAATTAGCAGTGTTCCTCATGGATATATCCTACTGAATCCAAGTGAGGTGTAGATGCAGTGGTAACTTTGTTTTTAAAGTTAAATCCACTTCTAGTGGCAGTCTTAACACTCCATAGAGGCACTTCCTCCAGTAAAACTCAGTCTAGGACTAAAACGCTGCTGTCTGCATTATTTCATCGGAGCAGCATGGTCTTTAGCAACACATTCATATTTCCAGTCTATAAGCAAAGGATTGGAGGAGATCAAAGATGTCAAAAAGCATACTGACTCCTTTAACGGAGAAGCTGGAGTCTGCAGAATGAGGAGCGTGTAGTCTTTAACCCCTTAAGGACACATGACATGTCATGATTCACTTTTATTCCAGAAGTTTGGTCCTTAAGGGGTTAAAGTGACACTATAGTCACCAGAACAACTTCAGCCTATTTCATTTGGAAACACAGTACTATATTTAGGGAGGCAAAGGGCTAGACCCTAGTGATCCTTTAAAAGGAACACAAGGAGGTCAGTTACACAAACATGTATTCCTGACTATATAGTGGTAAAAAAAATAAAGATTTAAGGGGATGTGCCCTGTTAAGAAAACTTATGTTATTTTCAGCATCGCATGTCTGCCAGTACTGGCCCCTCCCCAAATACACCTTCTTGGTGGACATCAGAATTGGTGATCTCAGCTAATCCAATGTTTTCCCATAGGGAAAAAACAAAAAACATTGGATTGGACAATCAGCATCTCCATGCAGAGTGTCAGTGCTGTACACTATGCAGCCCTGACCCAGTAAGCACCTCTATTTGCAATCTAAAGAGTAGCCAGTGGAGATGTCCCTAGGGAGCAATCTAAACACTGCCTTTTATATGATAAGTCAGTGTTTACAACAAAAAGTCTGCAGGAACATATTATACTCACCAGAACAACTACATTAAACTGCAGTTGTTCTGGTGACAATTTATAAACCAACTGGGTTTAAAAGGAAGTGAAACCTAGGTTAGAGTGAGTTTTTTTTTTTTTTTTTATATAGTGCCAGCTCCCAATTATTTTCCAGGAGTTGGTCATACTGAGTAAGGCAGGTAAGGGAAAGAACCTGTCCAATAAGCTAGCCAGTGGGTGCTCTGGGCATCACAAGAGGATGACTCTTCCATTTAGCTGTTGATCATAGTTCTCAATCCGTGGTGGAAGAGGTTTTTATCTTTTATTTAAATGTGCATATAGATTTTGGATAATGAGAAGGTAACTTGTTTTATTCTAATGTATTGGGACTGGTGAGTGCTATAGTCATTGCTGCAGCTTAGAGTTTGAGTGCAGGGCCTAATTGTGGATTAGACAATGGTAAAGAATGTTGAGGAAAAAAAAAAAAACCACAACAGGAGCAACAGCATCTTTAACATGTTCTAGGAATGGGCAGCAAACATTTAACGAGACACTATAGTCACCAGAACCATTACAGCGTAATGTAATGATTCTAGTGGCTACAGCCTTTCCCTGCAGTGGTTGCAATGTAAACCCTGCCTTTTCAGAGAAAAGACAGTGCTTACTTGCTGCCTAGTACTCTAGTGCCAGTCACTCAGATGGCCACTTGAGATCTTTCCTAGTGCAGTGCAGCACTTACATTCAGTGTCTCCACGTACTGTATTTAGGCGCTGAACATTCCCCTTAGTGATGCATTAATTCAATACATCTGAGGAAATGCTGATTGGTGCTGCATGGTGTTTTACTGCGCATGCACAACAGCCTCCCAGTGCTTTCCTATGATCTCAGTCATGGTGGAGGGGCCAGCATGGGAGAAAGAGGCCAGTTACTTAAACAGCCACTTCAGCACTATAGTGCTATAAAACTCCTTGCTAGAGACCATCCAGTACAAAAAAAATATTCTAAAGACACTTACTGTTATTTGTCTGTGACGGCAGGAGTCTGTTTCTTTGGCTTCAATTTAAAGAATAGGATCAACCCTGCAATCCCAGCATACGTGGCCAATACGCACTAAAAATATAAAATAATTAGAAATGTAAAAATGAACAGTGTCTAAACCGGAAACTAGAAATTTCATGTACTATCATTATACGTACATTCCTTCTTCCTGTGATGGTATATGCATTGAAGTACTTTTGGATACCAGTGAATTGATGGTGACTGCCAGAATCGTGACCTCCCATGACTGATCTCTCTGAAATAGAAATAATTAAAATGTGATAAATTAAGACATGATACTTTCCCAACTTCTGCATGGCATTTTACTGTTAGCCAGAATACTGTTAACTTTTACTGCAATAAAATACAGCTGTGTTTAGCAATGCCCCATGATCAAATATAGGGCTTGCCTGTTTCAGTTTTTACACATTAAAATTTGCTAGATAGGTTTGCTAGGCCTATGTCACATTTGAGACTGTATGGCACCCCAGGAATGGAAATTACCCCCCCCATCATGGCATACCATCTTCAAAAGTAGACAACCCAGAGTACTTAAAATTGCATAATTATGTAAAAAGCACACAAATTTACACGTCGAGTGGAGAAAGGAGCTTCTGTAAGGAAGCAGCAGTTAAGTCTGTCTGCAACATGCGCAGACTACACTTTTTCTATGCACAGAATATACATTAGGCAGCTCGAAACAGTTATGGGTTGCCTAAGTCATGTTAGCTGTGAGTGCAACTTGCCTCAGCAAAGACGAGCTAATACATCTGGCTGTGCAGTGTTTTTTTTTGTTTTGTTTTTTTAAATTCTTTATTTTTTCTGTGTATGAAGAAGAAAGACAGTTACAATTATGTTTGCATTGCCCCAATAGCATATGTATGCTTAATAACAATCTACAGCAATTTGTCAAGGCATAGCAAGAGAAATACAATGCACATTTTTATAATATGGCACGAGTCATACTTGTAAGCTTGAATACAGTGCTAGTGAGTAATTGACTTTTATAACATAAGCTTATGAATTTTAGTACTATGGTAGAAAAGTGTTTCCAGGAGGCCCCCCAAGCATATCAGGCTTTGAGTCCTGTTGTGGTAGTTTGAGGGTGGGAGCATGCTAGCGTACTGGGTTAAAGTAGGGCTCGGGGTGTGGGCATTGGGGGTGTATTGCTGGGGTAATATGGTACCTATGTTCAGTCTCGAGTTCATCCATGCCTTGTGGAGGCTCTGCGCTTTCTTGCCCCGAGAGTCTGTCGATGGAACCTTGCTGTTTTCCCTGGATTGGGTTCGCGTTCAGGAGTCGCTTTGGAAGCTCGGCTGTGCAGGTGCGGCATCTTCTCTTGCGTGGCTTCCGAGACCGACTTTCTTTGTGAGGCCGGTACATTGGGGCTGCCCTGTTGATTTGTTGCAGGATGGTCGCAGCTGTGTTTGCGGTTTGTCGAGTGCTGGGACGCTTAGTTGTGTTCTGGGGCGCGGCCCTTGTGTGCTGGGAGCCAGGTCGAGTGGTCTGCCATGTTCTGTCCCTCAGAGTCCTGGTCGATGTGGGTTTGTCACTGGAGCGTGGAGGCAGTTTATTAGGCGTGTGTTCTGTCTTGGTAGGTAGCAGTGCTTGTTGCTGCCTACTCTCCAGCTTCCTCCAGAAGGCAGTGAACAGGCTGTCCAGTCTGTCTTCTAGGTCCCAGTGTGGGGGAGACCACCGGCGTCCGCCATTTTTCATTGCTCCATTGCTGGGTAGTGCTCATTCAGGTCCTGCTAGTTTGTCCTATGGAGCAGGGTTGCCTCCCTGGAGTGGACCGGGATCACTCCCGCCGGTCCCTGGGGGGGAGAGGTAGTGTGTTGCTGTGTCCGCTTTGCCAGTGTCTGGACGAGGAGAGCGGCCGTCTCCCCCCCATCACCGCAATCAGCAGGCCGCGGCCAGCTATCCCAGGTTCCCGGCGCTGGAGTCGCATAAGTCGGGTATCAGAAGGTACACCAGCTTTCCCCTATCTCGGGTGGGGCATTTTGGTGCTTGGTTGATTTGAATAAGTGCGATTTTTGTTAGGGAATATGCTGAGAATAGCGGGAGCCCCGAGAACACGCGACTGTTCAGTTAGCAGGTCAAGCTCCACCCCCCTGCAGTGTTTTTAACAGAAACACTGCACATCCAGACTCCTACCACCATGACCAGTACTGGCGGTCGAAGTAACCCTTTAATATCAGAATACTCATCTGGCAATTAGTTCAAATTAGGTTTGGCTAGATATATGCAAATCCCTCTAATAAGGTTTCAAGTAAATGTGACATAAGCTGCTGATAAAACAAAACTAAAAATGTCAAGAATTATGGGAATGATAATGCAGGAAGCCTAAACCATGTCAAAATAAAAGATAATGGAAAATACTGAATCCATCTTATGGAAGTAAAATAACATTTTCTTAGCTACATCGTACCGAAAAGCTAGTCTGCTAAATAAAATATAGCAATAAACATAGACTAACTAAAAAAAAAAAAAAAAAACCTAAACATAAGCCATTTGTACAGAGAGGGCAGGTAGTTACAATCATTAGACAGTGAATTGAAAGCCAAAACCGCTGGGATTGTTTTTAAAACTTAGCTGAAGTGGAGCATGGACTACCTAGGTCTGAATTTTTGGAAGTTGTTTTGCAATTCGCCACATTTTCAATTACTTAAATGGACACTATAGGCACCCAGATCACTTCAGCTCATTGAAAAGGTCTGGGTGCAGTGTCCCAGGTCCCTTAAACATGCAAAGGTAATTAATGCAGTTTTTAAATAAATACACTGCAATAAATTACCTTTAAAGGGTTAACTCCACCTCTAGAGGCTGTCTACCAGACAGTCACTTACTAGAGTGACTTCTGGGTCGTTAGGCGACTTTTGGTAATCCAGCATCATGAGGTTATCCAGCGTCATGTAAGACCCCATAGGAAAGCATTATACATGCTTTACTGTGAAAAAAGTATTAATGTGACCTCAGCCATCGCCGTGCATGCGCATTAGGTCTCCCCCACGAGCTGACATCAGCAGGGGAGGAGCGGAGGCAAAGCCTGAACCAGCACTGAGGGACATTCTGGTACTTTAGTTTTCCTTTAATAAACCTTAGCTAGATGGATCTCTCTTTTTCTGTATCAGCTATTTTAGTATAGTTCAGCCCTTCTCAATTCTCATTTTAGTAATCACAGACTCAACCAGGTATATTAAACTGCAAATAGTAGCAAACTCAAATCTGAATAGAAATTGTTAGATTAAAACGTACGATTCTGGGAAAATTCTACAACGCCACTACATTCACAAGTCTGCTATTATCCCCAGCATTTCTCTATGTGGAAGTAATGTCAAGAAATAATGCTAATTTTAGAGTACAACGAGAATTATCAGGCAACGGAATATTTTAGGCCAAATATGAAAAATCTAAAGTGAGAATTGTTATTGGCCTTAAACTTAAAAACTTCTAATATAACTAGCAGCATGGCTAACTTGGGGAGTTTTTCCTAGTCCCACAACATTAGCCTTAAATTTAAAATTCACGGTCAGGGTTATTTACCAAAGTTACAATTCAAAGCAATGTAAATGGAAGGTCAGAGTGACCAAATTGACTGTATAGCGTGATGTTCCCAGTTTGGCTATTCACATTAAATTCTCACTTTTTGTGAATAACCCTGTGAGAGTCAGCTATGTTCGCAGTTTGGCTGTTTGTGAAATAGAATTAGAATTCCAGCCAGTTCACCCGTTAGTAAATAACCCTGTTAATCTAACAAGGTTAGATACTAAAAATGAGAACTGATGTAACAGCAAAGTGAATTTTCAATTTAAAGGTTTAAAATAGACAAACTGGGACCAAAACTTACTATGAGATTTTTTTTTTTTTTCCCTTACCAATTCAGCTATTTTGGCCTTAAATTTGCAGTGATTTTAAATCCCCACCAATTCTCAGTGTAGGCAATAGCCCAACATGTAAGGGCCCAAGTCCCTGAGTTAGGGCCCCAGCAGAGCTGAATGACATATCAATGCCAAGACTCTTACACATGGACCTACAGCCCCAGAGACCCCAGAAGACATGCCCTCCACCCCCTATTTCCCCCCCATACCCCACACAGACCCCCCAAACACTCACTAGTGTCAGCAGCAATATCAAGAATGAGTGCCCTTCACCAGCCCCAGCTTCTACTGACCAAGGCAAAAGGAAGTCACACCTCCTCCTTACATTGGCTGACAGGGCTGTCTGTCACCTCAGCGCCCGCTGCCATTGGCTGTAACAGCTTCTCTCTCGCGCGAGAAGTCACGGAGTTCCAAACACTAGAGACACTTTTTTTTTTTTTTTATTATGAGAAATTTCTATTGTATCCAGTGTGGAGTCTGGTATTTTACACAGGGAAAACAATATCCTAGAGACCAAAACACGCATTGAGCTCTCTATGAATCGGCTCCCACAACATGGCGGCTGCGATGGAGACAAGGCTGCGCGGTGCATTTGAGCTCGGGTGCTTTGAAACTGGGAAGGTGACTGGAGGCAGGCGAGAGCCTGGTGTTACCGGAAGTGGATCTGTTCTGAGCCAGGTTGGATTCAGCTTCCGGGTTATGTGCATGCTGGGCCACACGTGGGTATGAGACCAGGATTATAACAGCCAGTCCCACATACACCTCAAGGTAAATTAATAAAGATTCATTGTAAAATATGGCAGCTGTGGATTTAGTCATAATTAATTTTATTATCATTGAAACTCCATATTGTGAATGTCAGTAATAGATATCTGCTTTCCCACATTCTCATGGTTGTTGGTATTAATGCAAATTATTTAAAGTATAGAAACAGAATGTGACAGCCCATCTAGTCTGCCCAATATTCTAAATACTTTCATTAACACCTGGATTTATCTTACAGCGAGTATACTTTATCTTATATCGAGTATACTTATAGCTAGTATACTTTATCTTACAGCTAGTATACTTTATCTTACAGCTAGTATACTTATAGCTAGTATACTTTATCTTACAGCTAGTATACTTATAGCTAGTATACGTTATCTTACAGCTAGTATACTTATAGCTAGTATACTTTATCTTATAGCTAGTATACTTTATCTTACAGCTAGTATACTTATAGCTAGTATACTTTATCTTACAGCTAGTATACTTATAGCTAGTATACGTTATCTTACAGCTAGTATACTTATAGCTAGTATACGTTATCTTACAGCTAGTATACTTATAGCTAGTATACGTTATCTTACAGCTAGTATACTTATAGCTAGTATACTTTATCTTATAGCTAGTATACTTTATCTTACAGCTAGTATACGTTATCTTACAGCTAGTATACTTATAGCTAGTATACTTTATCTTATAGCTAGTATACGTTATCTTATAGCTAGTATATGTTATCTTATAGCTAGTATATGTTATCTTATAGCTAGTATATGTTATCTTATAGCTAGTATACGTTATCTTACAGCTAGTATACCTATAGCTAGTATACCTATAGCTAGTATACTTTATATTACAGCTAGTATACTTATAGCTAGTATACGTTATCTTATAGCTAGTATACTTTATACTTTATCTTATAGCTAGTGTACTTTAGGGGACTCTCTTATATGTTCATTTGTGTTGTATTTTGCAACCTCATTGGTTCGCCTTTGTCTTGACAATGTAACTTATTTATAAAGCGCCAACATATTCCGCAGCTCTCTAAAAATGGGAAAGAGAGTGCAATATAAACAGACCAATGAAAAGGGCCCTGAAGATCGGCCGAATGGTTCTTATCTGCCGTCACATTCTATGTTTCTAAGATGTTTCGTACATAGTGCTTTGATGGATAAACCGTGAGCTTGCAATCTAAAAACTTGGAGATTTATTGCAGTTTTGTTCACAATTCACGTTTTAGTAAATAATCCAGTGAGCTGTGTCAAACAGGAATAACAGAAATAACTAGGAGGAACTCTCACACTTACTGAATCCAACCCCACAATAGGGGGAGTCCTAAATAATCGCCCGGTTACTCCTAGGATTGACAGCTCTAGGTAACTGATTAAAACTCAACTTTTATTCATTAGAAAAAAATCTAAACATAAAAAAAAATGGAAAAGCCCAATGCCAAGTTCAATACCTACACCCTGATAATTACAGAGAACAGACTGTGTGTGACTAAAAAAAAAATCAATGAGTTGAAAATTAGAGCTTCATACCATGTTTCACTTTCTGAGAAAGATAGTGTACTAAAAGTCAATGTGTAATTATGACATTTTTGAGGAAAACATTTACTAGTTATAAATGCTGAGTTGTTAAAGGGACATGCCCCTGCAGCCTCACTGCTTAATCCTCTGCCATTTAGGAGTTAAATCCCTTTGTTTATGAACCCTAATCACACCTCCTTGCATGTGACTTGCACAGCCTTCCATAAACACTTCCTGTAAAGAGAGCCCTATTTAGACTTTCTTTATTGCAAGTTCTGTTTAATTAAGATTTTCTTATCCCCTGCTATGTTAATAGCTTGCTAGACCCTGCAAGAGCCTCCTGTATGTGATTAACCCCTTAAGGACCAAACCTCTGGAATAAAAGGGAATCATGACATGTCACACATGTCATGTGTCCTTAATGGGTTAAAGTTCAATTCAGAGATTGAGATACAATTATTTAAGGTAAATTACATCTGTTTGAAAGTGAAACCAGTTTTTTTTTTTCATGCAGGCTCTGTCAATCATAGTCAGGGGAGGTGTGGCTAGGGCTGCATAAACAGAAACAAAGTGATTTAACTCCTAAATGACAGTGAATTGAGCAGTGAAATTGCAGGGGAATGATCTATACACTAAAACTGCTTTATTTAGCTAAAGTTATTTAGGTGACTATAGTGTTCCTTTAACTAAACACAATTTGGATCAATATTTGTAGTAGAAAGCAAATATGTTGGGAAACAGTGACATTTTAACTAACTCAGCAATGCAATAAGAATCAATTAACAAGGTCCTGCACATAGAATAGTTTATACATACTATTTACTTGTTTGCTTTTATTGTGCTTAAAGGGTTTTTTCAGCCATAATGACTACTTCAATGTTTTGAAGTGCTCATGGTGCAAGGACCATGTATATATCAAGTATGAAAAACTGCACATACTTGGAAATTTTATGTTGCTGCTGGAAGTGTAGCCTATGGCAGCAGTTATTAGACAGGCCAAATTGTCAATTCTGGGCTGGCTATTTAAATCTGCCTTTGCTCAAGCGTTCATTAACTGGCTGGGAGCTCTACGCTGATGTTTTAGTTTAAAAATTAACTTCGGGATCAGAATCTGGCTTCTGCACATACGGCTCAGCCGGAATTCTCTGAGGTTGGAAGCAGGTAAGAAGCAAACCATTGTAAAATTGTTAGCCCACTTCCTCGGGAACGATGCTAGGGTACACTACAGTGGGCTGCAAAGGCTATGATACTCTGAGTAACCCTTTCAGTTTTTGCTCATAAATCCATGCTATAGGCATGGATGTGTGAGCATTTGGTTCCTTACATAACACATACTAGGTTATTCACTAAAATGAGAATTGAAGGGGAATTCAAACCAAATTTAAGGTTCAAATAGCAAAACTGGAAAATTTCTTTAAGTCCGCTATGCGTCCAGTGCGATTACTCTGGACTTCAATCTGAAATTCACTTTGAATTCTCACTTTAGTTATTAACGCTGGTAGAGTGCAGCCACATGCTAAGAATAATTGGAGCAGGTGCATAACTCTAATGCACGTAACATATTGTTAGCCGGATCGGCAAACTTCAGGAGAGTATCATGTTTGATCTGTATATTTATTTGGGGGGGTTGATTACATTTCAATACTTGCCTGGAGTCATTCTAATAAATGTATAAAAGCCTGACATTCTACTATGTTGATTTCAATTTGCACGAATTGATTACTATAACATTTGAATTTTCATAATTTACATTTTATATGTAAAACAATCTCTCAAACATTTGGGGATGACGAATATATTGAATATATGTCGAGGCTTTGGATATGTCCCTATACAGAGATCTTGAACCTATGCTTTTCTAAGAGTATAAAATATATAGAGGTTTATTATCAGTCCTCAGTGTCCAGGTTTAAATGAGCCAAGATCGGGGACGCAGAAACACAAAAACGTAATGCCAGGCTTGGTATAGGAGTCTTGAAAACAGGATAGTCAAACAAGCTAGATCAGTTTAGCAGAGAATACAATGAACAAAGAACGCTCTATTGGGAATCTCAAATGAGACCGCAGCAGGGCATGATACAGAACATGTATCAATGGCTTGCACCATTCCTGTACTCTCAGAACATGTAAGCGTTGACGGTGGAATGACGCAGGGCTATTTGTGTCTGCAAATTCTCCCTTGGATGTCTTATCAGAAAGTTATACACAGGATCAACTTGTACGCTGGCATGGTAATTTTGTTACCCAATAATTGATTCTCACTCGCACTCCACAGCACTGTTTTCGAGATAAAATAGAACAATCATTTTGTCCATCTTTCATTGCAGAGAAAAATACACTGAAGCCATGGAAGAAAGCTTTCCTCGTGGAGGTACCCAATCAAAGTCAACCCAACCAAAGATTAAAAAGAGGCCACAGGAAAATGATAACCTGTTCTCTGTAAGTAATGTGGAGTGTTGTATGTCATGTTAGCATTTAAAGGAACGTTACAAGTACCAGTTTTACAGCTTATCACTCTCAGCCACTGAGCTAAGCCCAGCATTGTAGGATTTAGCTCGGGAGAACTAACAGAAGATAAGAAGGCCAATTGTTTACAAACAGTTTGACTCCTTAGAGTAGGGGATGCCGTTGTACTCCTGGGACTATTACCACTACAGTAAACTGTAATTTTATGATGCTTGGAGCGCTCCTTTACTCTCCCTCTCAAATGTATGATCGTGGCTCAGAGTTTTTTACATTAAGCTGTTATGGAGTCTGTCTGAGGAAGTGGGAACTTAAATACCATGCTCCTTTTAAACAAATATTTGGATAAATTATATGGGAAGGTAGTGTTTGGTAGGACATTTGTGAGTGTATTGTTTTGTTTTCTGTGTTATTTGATTGAACAAAAGATTAGCTGTTGTGTTCCGGAGTAGTATATGTGTGTGGTAGGTGGTAAATACTATGTAACTTGAAATATATGTTCTGTTGGAAAGTTTAGTGGCTCGTTCATTTTCTTTTCTCTCTCACTAAATGTATCTTTTAAATGTAATGATTGTACAAAGCCTGTTAAATTTACTGTTTTTTGGGGGGGTCGTTTAACCAGACCCATCACGAAGAAGATGACAATGAACCAATCAAGAAGAAAAAGAAGACCATTCTGGTCAGAGAGGAACCAAAGTTTATTCGCCAGGAAAAGCGGAAAACACCTGTTTCAAAGGAGCAACCTGTGGATATCCTGAGGTTTAAGGTCTGTTTTTCTATTTAGCTTTCCTTTTCTTTTCCTGGTGGGGATGCATAATATTCTATTCTAATTGTGGTGTGCAATCTACTTCAAATTATTCACTAAAATATAAACTACAATATAGCAAATTGAAATCCAAATTACAAAATTGAGGTTAAAATGGCCAATTTGTAATTTTAGCTGTGTTGGAGAATATTTCCAAATCACCTGAATTTTGTCAATTAGATTAGAATTTACTACAATTTGGAATTTTAGTGAAGAAAACCCATGTGTTTATGATTAATTCCTGTTGTATGAGTAGTGTTTACCAGTAAATAATATTTATTAAAATAGATGCATGCCCTTTCAAAGCCTGTCTTTTGAGAACATTATATTTAATTTCTTTTGTTTTGTTTTTTGTTTACCTCTAAAGGGGAGCTGTCGCTTCCTGGGATTTTTAATTGTTATCTTTACATCCCACACGGCTTTAACAAATATATCTTTCAGGGGTGTGAAAAAATAAAATTAAATCTGCACCTCTTTATCTTGCAACAGGGTGCCTCCATCTTACCTCCCTGTCAGTCATTGTTATAAGCCAGGGGTGTCCAAAAGGTAGATCCCCAGATGTTCTAAAACTACAACTTCTTTCATGCTTTGTCATTTTAAAGGCATGCAAAGCATCGTGGGAATTGCAGTTCTACAATATCTAGGGATCTACCTTTTGGACACCCCTGTTATAAGCTCTGTCCTTTGCACCTTGCAGTCAGCATAGAGAAGCCAATCAGAAAAGAAGATTAATGAAACAATGTTTCTATGTCTTCTTATTTGCATTGTGTGCCCTGGCTGTGCCTAGGCTTAGCTGTATTATGATGCAATTTGCTAAATCTCGAATAATCATCTGGAAGAAAAAAAAGGTGATCACATAAAAAAAAATCAAAACAGACGTTTTAGCTGATTTTCTATTTTTTATTTAGGGGTGTAAGAAGTGACCGTTCGTTCCTCTGTAACCTTATAATATATTTTTATGAGCAAACTCCCAGATTTTCCCCCATCCTTTCCTTACTTCCTCTATAAAGTGATTCCTTACTACACGCTTAGCGTTATTTACTAAGGAGTGAATGTAAAGTGAATTTCAAATTCAAGGCCAAGGTACCTGAAAGGAAAGCATAACTGACTTACATTTTTTTGCAGTTTGGCTATTTCCCCCTTAACTTTGATATTCACCTTGAATTTTAACTTTAATAAGTAACTCTGCCTGTATTCTACATACATGTTCTGTACCCAGCTTTGTTAGTCCTATCAGATGGCACTCTTCACCTGGCACTCCTTTGTTTCAGAATCTCAATGTTGGCATGCTGTTCCTGGGATGTGTAAAAGAAGTTAAAGACTTTGAAATGGCTATCAGTCTGCCATATGGGATGACGGGATATGTCCATGCAACACATATTTGCGAGGCATACTCTAAAATTCTAAGTGAACAGGCAGAAAAAGATGTCCCTTTGGAGGTAAGAACTCGTTCATATGTTTTTTTGCAACAATGGCTTTTTGTTGTGTGTACCATGTACGCAGACAAAAATTTATATTTTGCTAACAAAATAATGCGTTCATGTAGGCTAAGGGTTTAAAGTTAAATTACCGCTTTTGTTAAAGGACCACTCTAGGCACCCAGACCACTTCAGCTTAATGAAATGGTCTGGGTGCCAGGTCCAGCTAAGGGTAACCCATTTTTTCATAAACATAGCAGTTTCATAGAAACTGCTATGTTTATGAATGGGTTAAGCCTTCCCCCATTCCCTCTAGCGGCTGTCTTATTGACAGCCGCTAGAGGCGCTTGCGTGCTTCTCACTGTGATTTTCACAGTGAGAGCACGCCAGCATCCATAGGAAAGCATTATGAATGCTTTCCTATGTGACCGGCTGAATGCACACGTAGCTCTTGCCGCGCGTGCGCATTCAGCTCACGGGGCGGAACGGAGGAGGAGAGCTCCCCGCCCAGCGCTGGAAAAAGGTAAGATTTAACCCCTTTCCCCCTTCCAGAGCTGGGCAGGAGGGGGACCCTGAGGGTGGGGGCACCCTCAGGGCACCATAGTGCCAGGAAAACGAGTATGTTTTCCTGGCACTATAGTGGTCCTTTAAGCGTAGATTTGTTGTACCCCCATGTGTTATCACTGAAAATAGTCTATTAAATTAGTTTGAGAATTCTATTTAAACACATTGCTGCAGTCATTTACCACTGCGTTCATTGGCAAATGCAGCGAATACAATACAGAATATATACTGGAGTAGAGCAGCTTTCACAACTCCTGCCCTTGACCTGCACCTGGCCAGCCTGTTACCCACTGGACCACAGGGAAGCCACCCACACAGAGCTGCAGAATAAGCCTCTTCTTATACAGTCCTCACAAACTCAACACCACTGACAATCTACATACACCAAAGCAACACCACAAGCAGCCCCATACATACACACACCGGGAAACACACTGTGACATATCCTCCACACACACAACTCCACAAGAAGCCTCCATACACAGCCCACATTCATAGGTATCATACACAAACCACTCATGAACATATACTGTACAAAATAACAGCCCACATATACACAAATACAATGCTACAAAGCAACTGCAGCCCCTATACATAACACAAGCAGAATATGGCTACATACACAACTCAATTTTTAAAAAAATCTAGGACCGACAAGCCAAGGGACGTCACGATCTTGTTTTGACACAGTACTACTGAAAGGTTGCCTGCCCTAACCCAACCCAGCCTAAGCCTTTGGATTTAATGTGTGTTTATTTTTTTTGTTGTTGCAATTTTCATTCACTGCTCATCATGAAGTTTGTCATCTAGTTCATCAAGAAAATCCTTTGTGAAAAGCTTTTTTTCCCTATCCTTGATAAATGGAGCTATTCTGAAGTATTTCTCGCAAGCATTCAAACTTTAACTGTTTGCGTCTTCCTTCACATTTTAGGCACTTGCGCCCCTGCCTGATCTGTACTGTCCTGGGATGCTGGTAAGATGTGCCGTCAGTAGTTTGGAATCTACATCTCGTGGTTTTCAAAGCATCAAACTATCCATCAATCCACATGATGTCAACAAGCTCCTCGCTGACGCTTCTTTGCGACCGGGAATGGTATGCATTTACATTGTTTCAGTAAAAACAACTTGGATGTGTTATGAATACAGTAACATGTTCTGCAGGTAAAATGCATTGTGTCTGTAATAGTCTCAAATAACTTTCGAAAAAAAAGTAGTGATGAGTATATATCAATAATCAAATCAATAGTAAAAATGTAATACATATTCATTTGTGCTGTTTATTGAACCACATAGAACGTATAAAATAATTTCTATGTGGATGTTGCTTAAAGGATAGAGGAATCTGTTTGAGTGTATCTTTTACTGATAAAACCTCCTTAAACAGTGATGATATAATTTGACTTAAAAAAATAACTGTATATTTAAAGGAGCAGTATTGTGCCAGGAAAACAAACTTGTTTTCTTGGCACTATAGTGTCATTACGTCCCCCCTCCCGCTGGGCTGAAGGGGTTAAAACTTACTTCCTCGCGCGTCTTCCTGGGCTTCTTCGGCACTGGGAAACTCTCCTCCCTCTACCGTCAGCCCGAATGCGCATGCACGGCAAGATCTGTGCGCGCATTTAAACCGCCCATAGGAAAGCATTACTCAATGCTTTCCTATGGACGTCCAGCGGAATCGCCTCTAGCGGCTGTCAGTGAGACAGCTACTAGAGGCTTGATTAACCCTCAGGGAGGGGTATGTTTTCAGCTGCGGGGTTAAAACTAGACCTGGCACCCAGACCACTTCATTGAGCTGAAGTGATCTGGGTGCCTATAGTGGTCCTTTAAGTTTTAAGAGATGCTAATTGAAAACTTGCTTTCTTCTCTTCAATGCCGCAGTCATTACATTTTTACACTTTTATGTTATAATCTTTTTTGTTACTTCCTCATCCCATCTATGTCCCCTCAGAATAAAATGAAATGTTGATGGTAAAATATTTTTATATTCTTTTCTCTTCCCAGCTGCTTTCAGGGTGTGTATCCAGTATAGAAGATCATGGGTATATCGTTGACTTAGGAGTCGCTGGAACTAAAGCTTTCCTGCCCCGTCAGAAAGCTCAAGTATATTTAAAACAGACAAATAAATGTAAGTCACAAACTGCTTCATTAGAATAGCTCCAGACTTCCTCAGACACTCAAGGGTGTGCTGATTGCATTATTCTGTTTCAATTGTAAAAAATAAAATAAAAAATGGACTCCGAAGGCACCTTGACTGTCTTCAAAACCGCACTACATATTAAACTTTATTAGAATGAGAGAGATTAGTCTTAATTGTGCAGTTTGTTAAAAACTCTGCATAATGGCACATCTTCCTGCAACTGTGTCCAAGATACCTTTATTTAGAACAAGCCTGAACAGGAACTAGGTGCCTTTCTGCTTTGATTCGTGATTCAGTTCCTGTGCTGAAACGGCTGTAAGGGCTTTTCCTAAACACTCCCATACTTGTAGATGGGTATCCCTGTTTCAAAGCGAGGAAAGTCTGACTTGATGGAACCTTTATCCATTGAGTTCTACATTATCCTCTGGTGTTGATTGTATCTCTATGTTTCTATGTTTGATGATGGGAGTTGCAGTCTGACCTGCCAGGATTTACTGACTATTTCACATTTTCATGCCCATTCACATATTTACACGTCCGGTGTCTCTTTCAGCGACATCTCTGAAGGTGGGACAGTATCTGAACTGCGTGATTGAAGAAGTGAAGAATGATGGGAGAATTGTGCGTCTGTCGATCACGCAGCCTGATGTCGCTGCAGCTGTTGCCACAGAACAACAGAAATGGTCTCTTAATAATTTGCTGCCAGGGCTGATTGTTAAAGCCACTATTAAGAAGGTACGACCTATTTGTATACAAGTTGTTAGCAAATGTTAACACAATTTAGAGCCTAGATTGAGTGTGGTCTGTGTGATCTATGTAAAATTTGTAACCTGCGACATGTCCGTTCCTCGTTGATCTCCCTTCCTGTTATTTGCATGACGTTTGCAGTAAATTCTTCCCAAATACTATTTATATTTTTCTAAATGTCCCTTCTTTTCACAGGTGTCAAATGACAAAATCACCTTGTCCTTCCTTTCATCCTTTACTTCGACCGTAGATTTCTTACACTTTGAACCCAAAAAAAGCAGTGAATACAGTGTTAACCAGGAGGTAGGTATCCAAAACAGTACATCAGAGTATTGTTCATGGTTAGTCAATAAAGCGGTTCAACACAATTAGAAACAATCAAAAAACATGGGTTTTGGTTAAGTTATTTTAGCAAACTTTTTAATTGTTAGAACTTCACTCTCTTCAGGAAATTAATGTTTGCATTGAATTGGTTACTCAAGCATAACCCTCTCGTTCTTTGTTTTTCCACGTAATCCAAAAAGGAGTCAAACAATGTACATAACATTGATTCTAGGACAAAGTAGATGCCTTCGATTGTAAAATGATATATTTTAAATGTGTCATAGAAACAGGAGAGACTAAGCATTTTGCTTTGGCATTAAAAAAAACAGATTAAACCTTTAAAATAATGTATAAATTATGTTAATTTAATTGTGTAATATACAGGGAAGTTATGGCCCCCCTGTAAAATATTTTTGTACAGGGTTATCCACTAAAGTGAAAATTCAAAGTAAATTTAAGTTTGAAATATGCAAACTGGAAAATATTTTATAGTTCAGCTAAGCTTTCAGTTTGCCTATTCTGGCTTTAAATTTTAAATTTTGTTTGAATTCACTTTGAATTCTCACTTTTGTACATAACCCTGTCTGATGCATGGCAATCTCACCGCAGGTCAAAGCTTGTATCTTGTGGGTCGATCCCTCTTCAAAGAACATCCGTCTGACGCTTCGCCAATCATTGATCCAGCCGGGCACCTTACTACGCCAGCTCTCCAGCAGTCTGACTGGTTCTGTGTTGGAGAACTGCACTGTGAAAGCCTTGTTTAAGTCCGTGGGAGCATTACTTGAACTCGGTGGCGACACTATGGGTTTTGCCTTTGTAAGTACTAATAAACCTTTTTTTTCTCAACATATCCTGAGGCAGTGTTGTATACAATCCATTGTATTTGTGCTCTGATATTTAAACCTATTGTTCGTATTTGATGCTAGATTAATTTTATGCTATGTAACAGGAAAGGCCACCCACCACTATCCAGCTTGTTGAATGACCATTTACATGAATCTTTGACAGATACTGGATTGTTTAGCAAAGACTGTTATTATTTTATTATACTTTGTTTATAAAGCATCAATGCATTCTACAGTGCTTTTTCATTGGTACATATGGTAAATTGTTTGCTTTTAATTTCAAAATGTTTCTTTACTGTTTAAGTTTCTTTTTAATGTGTTTTTTGGCAGTCACATTTTTGTAAGTACCCTTCCTGCTTAACAATCGTGAACAATAGCAAGCACCAAGTATTTGAACTTGATATTGTATGAAGAATAGTGCTGGTGGTAGTTGTCCATCGACATCATTCTGGTAGTTGTTGTCCATCGACATCTGAAGGTCCAGAGTTTGAAATTCCTGGCGTAAACTCTTCGTCTATTAACCTTATTTTCAGAAACACCATCTTCTTTCAAAAGAAGAAGAAGAAGCCAAGGGTCTTGGAAAGTTCAAGCAGGGCACCAGCCACACAGTGCGTGTCCTGGAGTTTAGCCCCATGGATGAGACCATCTTCGTCTCTTTAAAGCCGTAAGTATGGCCTTTTCATTTCACACCGCTGGACAATGTTCTCAGCTTGTGACTGCAAACATAGTATGGCAAAATGCCTAACCTTCATCCCTTATATGAAAGCTTGGTCCTCTAACACCTGTCTGTACTCATTGATCTTTTAGGGGTATCATTGGCGGCCTGTACTTGACGCACAATGAAATAAAGGCTGGTCAGCTGTTGGAGGTAAATTAAAATGTTGATTTAATACACTAAGTAATGACCTGTTGTCTCGAAAATATGTCAACATATGAAATTGGTCTTAAAGCGACACTTGAAGTACCATAATTACTACAGCTTATTCTAGTGGTTATGGTGCTGGGAGACATGTTCTCATGACACCTGAAGACCTTCAGTTCTGCCATTAACTTGGTAAAAAGAACTCTCCATATCCTCGTTATTGGTCCAAAATATTTGCATGGAGCCAAATTCGGCTACGTCATATTACTGTTCACCCTAGCCAGATTGGTTACAAACATTGGGAAATATGATCCTTTGTCAAGGTTGTCTTCTTTAATCTTATCCAGTAATTGTGCATATTGTTTTTCTCTACTCCTTCCCAGACATGGCCGAAATCTGTAGATTTTATAATTTCTTATAAACTTGCTCTTTTATTGTTATATTGTATGATGTACGCAATAAACTAAAATTTCACTTGTATGTTATTTTCTTACTCAATTAATTTATTTTTCTGTTCAGGGGGATGTAGTGAATATTGAGCCTGTAGGCATGGAAGTGAGAATCACCAGTTACATCTCTGGCCTCGTACCTCGTCTCCACTTGGCCGACGTCCAGCTACACCAGCCAGAACTAAAATACAAGAAAGGACTCAAAATTAAATGCAGGGTGAGCATAAGGAGTCCTATTACTATCACATTGTGCCAAAGCAAAACATCTGAAGAAACTGTCAGTTCCACAATTTTAGCACAATCTTCTAACAAACTAAATGTTAGCTATTGGTCCAGCTATTATTTTATTCTTCAAATTTAAAATTCTGTTTATTTTTTTTTTTTATTAATTGCAAAGCCTGGCAACATATGTAAATTAGTTCATGCTTGCACTGGCGTACACACTGAGCCCCTGCTACACACAATGCAATTCCAGTACTGATCTTAAAGGGACAGGCTAAGCACCAAAACAACTTAATTAAATGGTTTGATGTATAGATAATGCTACTGCAGTCTCACTGCTCAATTCTCTGCCATTTAGGAGTTAAATCACTTTGTTTATGCAGGGCTAGCCACACCGCTCCTTGCTGAGACTCACATAGCCTTCCTAAACACTTCCTGTAATGTTTAAAATTCCTTTGTTGCACAGTCAGTATAATATAGAAACAAATCTTGTTTGGGGTGGGGTGTAGACAGCATCGTTTTTAGTTTCCCAGATTGCCTGCCATTTACTCTTTTAATAAAGTACATATGTTTAACTTAGGCCAGAACTGGCAACTGTAATTCTCTGGCCATTAGCCTGCAACCCCTTTCAATGTCAGCCAGCCAACTGCTGAGCTCACTGGTAGTTGTTTAACCTGTCAATGAATCTAAATAAATAGTACTGCATTTATACAGTAGCTAGATTAGCATATACAATGCAATCTTCATTCATTTGCTTTTCTCAGACACATTTTGTGTATGGGCTTCTGATTTGTGATGTTATAACCTGTGTGTGTATATATATATATGTATGTGTGTGTGTGTGTGTATGTATATATATATATATATATATAATGGAAATCCAAAGACATCTACACATTGTGTTAATGTGTGCGCATGAAACCTAATTGGGAACATTTGGGTTTTTTGACTGATAAAAATATGTCACAGATTTCCAATGTGATCTGTTTGTGATGTTCTACACTGTGTACGGAGATGTTCTTGTAGCTAATTACATGATAGCCTCCATTTACCCTAGTTTAGAGACTCAGAATACCAACTACATTAGCTTTATGACCAATTGCATTTCATTTCCATTTGTTGTCTACAACATTGTCTCTTATGTATCAACAGGTCCTGACAATTGTTCCATCTGCCAAGAAACTTATCCTAACACGGAAGAGGACTCTAATAAATTCCAAGTTGCCAATCATTGCCAGTTATCAGGATGCACAACCCGGTCTGGTCACTCACGGAGTCATTGCAGCAATCAAGAATTATGGCTGCATTATTAAATTCTACAATGAAGTTCAAGGGCTGGCTCTAAGGCGGGAGTTGAGCTCTGAGCACATTCAGAATTTAGAGGAAGTTTTTTATAAAGGACAGGTAATGTAAAACTTGCAGAACAAAATAAAAACACGTTCTTAAAATAAGTAAACTTGTACATTTATTTCAATTTATTTTAATAATAACCATCTCCCTTGTTGGTCCTGTTTCAATGGCTTTTGTGTTTTTCATACATACACAGGTAGGTTATTTCACATAATTGACCAATAAATGACAAGAAACTGCAAGTTGTGGTTTGTAAACCAGTAGAGATCTTTTGCCTTCTTTGTGCTTTGTCGTTGGAGCAGGGCACGTGTAAGCCCTTGTTTCCAGTTATTGGTATGTTTATTGGTATGTTATGCTTATTCCCTGTACACTGTTGAGTGAGTAAGAGCTCCTTTAAAAATGAATTGGCATATGAAGAGCACTTTTACGTTTCAATCACCATGGAAACCAATGTCCATGCCTTTTGATACGGTTTTACATTTTGATCTCTGTTTACTCATTGCGTCTACCTCTCCACCCAGTGTTTGCAGTGTGATTCTACAAACGCTATAAGAAGAATTCTCAGATTTCTTAATCACTTTGTATCAATACCATATTTCATTGTGGAGAACAATCTATAAAACTTTTTTTCTTTTTTCTTTTTTTTTATCCATAGGTGGTCAAAGTTCGGGTGGTGAGTTGCGACATCGAAAAAGAGCGAATGCAAGTGTCCTTCAAAATAATAGAAGAGGAAGAGGAGGATGATGAGCAGAATTCAGAAAAGCGGCTTCAGAACAGAAATGCAGCAAGCATAGAAATTGGGAAGGTAGATGGAACCTTATTTATTGTCTAAATTCTTTGTCTGGTATCTGCAGTGATCATGTGACCTGCGTTAACAGCTGTGGGCGATTCTTTGTGTGACCCTATAAAATGACAATGAATTGGTGCATTTAAAGCGAAACTGTCACTTCTCTGAAAACGCCATTGAATAAAACACCGAAAATCACTTCTAACTCCTGTTACCATTCTCATAGGATGCTTTCATTCCTCTGAAATATATAAACCTTTCTCTTTCTCAGTCTCTCTCTTTCCTTTGTGTAGGCTGTGCTTTTTTTTTTTATTGTAATTTTTTTTATTGAATTATATACCATAAGACATTTTATATAAATAGACATACAAAAGAGTACAATGATGATTCTTTCTAGAATCAAACATAACAATATTCATACCATAATCACAGATGGCTAACTCGTTGCTATTATATCCATTATACATATTGATACATATTGATGCCAAAGTCACATTCAAACTTTTACAATAATACATGTTACTCACAAATAATAAACCAAAGTACTAAAGATATATAGATTTATATTTTCCTTATTTTCCTTTGTGACTCTTTTTATTTTTCTTATAAATCAACTGTATATCTATATAGACTTTCTTGTTGCCCGTACAGTATTTTCCTTTCTGTGATTATATCTCATTAATTCAAGCAGCTACATACATTAAAACTTAGATTGGGTTAATTCTTTAGACATTAAATATATAATTTTTTTCTTTTATCGTTCTTTTATTTCCCTTTTTCCTTTCCTTTTCTCTTTCCCCCCCTTTTTCCCTTCCCTTTTTCTTCCATTGCCTTTACACATTCACCTTTTTAGCTCTCTATATGATTAATATCCGCTATCAGGGTATTGTATACCTCTTGTTATATTATTTTTATGGACTTTTTTTCCATGCTTTTGCAATCAACAGCTTAGTAGCCGTAAGGCAATGAGTGACTAGTATTTCATTGGGTTTTTTTTTTGTTTGTTTTTTTAATATCAATGACCGTGAAGCGTTCGCTTCCAGCATTGAGCTGATTATAGGACTGTTGAATTGTATATTTTATTTACATTTTCATAACTCACCCAACTCCATACAAATTGACAGTGTATTATATAGCTAATATATAGCCAACTTATTTTGCCCAAAAATTAAGTTAAACAAAATTACGTTTCCTTTGACGCACTGGTTGCCAACGGGCAGTCATCTCGTACACCGAGATGAGATATTACATTCAGGAGCTTTGCATGCTGGTCTTTTGAATCCTTTTTTAAATTATTTTCCCATTGGTTTTTTTTTTTTTTAAAGCAGGGAGTTATGGGATAAGTAGTTTGTCCTCAAAGAGCAGTTCAAATCATTACATAGGAAACCGAAAGCCATACTTTAATGAATTGAGCTGTGGACAATGCATGTACAGTCTGCAGCCATGGTCTATCTCTTGGAAAAGGTAGAATCTTCCCTATTGTGTATTTGGGATCCACATACTGCCTGCACTACAAGGATGAAATTGCCACTGGCTGGTTGCTTGATTTTTTTTTTTTTGTAGCAGTGATTTTTAAAAACATTTGACACTATAACCCACTTTCAGAAATGAGTGTGGGCTCTGGGTGATCTGAGCACCATGCAAAAGAATAGTCACCATTATATAAGAGATCAATAAATATATTAAAAATCTTTCCGATCCAGCTGTTATGACAGCGATAACATGTCAGATGCTCCTCTTTCTTCACCATAGAACCAAATTTTTAAACATGCAGCTACTTATTCATTCCGCATCAACTTGCAGTAAACTGAAATCCAAGTTAGATGTAGACAAATCGCTCATTTGAAAAAAATCAATATATGTTAACTTTTTTATAACTTTTTTTTTTTTTTTTTAAACCAAAACTTAATTGCAATTTGGTATTTAGTGCATTAACCCCACAGATTTATTTATATTTAAATATTTTATTTTTTTTCAACTGTGGCAAATAAAATTCATATGGCTTAGAGATAAATTAATTGGGCAAAATCTGAAGTTGCAGTTTCTGGCTTAGTGACTAGAATCTTTGATTTTTACGCTGATAAAATGATTAAAGGACCCCTTTAGGGTCAAGAACACAAACACATATTCCTGACCCTAGAGTAAAAACCCACCATTTAGGTGGCTTGTCCCCCCTGTTAGCCCCCTCAGATTGGGTTAAAACTTACCTTATTTTCATCTCTCCAGGGGTGTGCCGGCGCTGGCCCCGTCCCCTTGGTGACATCATCAAAAAAATTTTTTTTTTGCCAATCCAATGCTTTCCCATGAGGAAAGCATTGGATTGGCTAAAATCGGCAAGGGGGCGGGGCCAAACAACATTTTGGCCAATAAGCACCTCCTCCTAGAAATGCATTGAATCAATGCATCTCTATGAGGAAAATTCAATGTCTCCATGCAGAGTGTGGTGATGCAGAAACAGCAGGGCTGCTTACTGTGCAGCCCTGAGCAAGGAAGCACCTCCAGTGACCATCTGAGGAGTGGCCACTTGGCGGTGTCCCTAGGGGCAATGTAAACACTGCCTTTTCTCTGGAAAGGCAGTGTTTACATTTAAATGCCTGAAGGGAGCTATTATACTCAACAGAACAACTACATTAAGCTGTAGTTGTTCTGGTGACTTTAGTGTCCCTTTAAGAGCAACTTGTCCAGATAGATTTTTTTTTTTTCCTTGTAATGTAGATATTCCTTATTACTGATTATAACCATTCTGTTTCTCTCCGTCTTAATGCTCTTTTTGAATTTGCAGATAGTTGACATAAAAATTGTCCAGAAAACTGAAAAGGGATTGAAAGTTGTAACTCTTCCAGAGAAAAAACCTGCCTTCCTTCCTAAAATGCATCTTTCTGATATTATTGGAAACTGTGAGCTATTTTGGCACTGCCTGGAGGAGGGAGACCAGCTCCATGGGGCGATGTATCTCAGCAAAGTCAAAGGAGAGATTGTATCCTTATATTTGTTAAACCATGCCGTGTATGTCAGAGCTAACGATGAGCTGTGTTCCTTGTTGGTTCTACCAGTGAGACGTATATATTATTCTATATTGAAATACGTTGTTCTATGTAGCATGGGAAAATGGGACTGTAATACCACATGCTGAGCCTTTTTTTAAGGCAGCGATGGTGCATTTGATGTTTTTTTAAAATTATTTCTTACTAGCATTGTAACCTTTTCAGATAAGCCCAAACGGATGAAGTTAAACAATATCACAGCTACATACAACACCTTGACAAGAAAACGTAACTATAGACCAAGGCACCACCACATTTTTTGGCTTCAGATATTGAGCCCTCTTGCCAGTCCCAAGCTTGCAAGTTTTATGTCCCTGTATTGACTAGAGGTTGCAATGGTATTATGCCTTTTTTATAAGACTTTATGGATTTCTTACTTACCCATGTAGTTGCTGTGATTTACTCCCCTTGCAAGCACAAGAAACACTTTCTAGAGGAGTGACCACACCAACTATAAGGGTAAGAGATGCCACTCTGTTGTACCACTGATGAACTGGCAATGAAGCCATTGTGAGGCTTTTTGTATTAGGGGAGACAGTTGTCATTATTTTATCATCTCCAGCAAAGTGAAATTCCTTAACGAATCGCTCAGATATTGACTAGAAAGTCGGCCTTGATTTCATCTTTGGTGGATGGCGAGTGTGTGAAAGACATCTCTGAACTACAGATCGGAATGATTCTCACTGGATTTGTCAATACCATAATGTCATATGGTGTATTCGTGGCATTCCCATATGGTCTGGTTGGATTAGCACCCAGAGCTGTAAGTAACATTGGATCTGATATATATGGTTGTGTACCAAGCTTTAAAAATTTACCCCATTGTACTGGAAAGAGGTGAAAAGGTCCAGATTTTCTTATTTTTAAGTGGGACGGTCATCTACAAAATAAATGGGTGAATCAGTGCCCTTTAAATACCTATTCGATTTAATCGGTGAATTATGCCAGTAAATTAAAAGGACACTTCAAGCGCCAAAAAACTTTAGCTTATTGAAGCAGTTTTGGTGCCCCTGCAATCTTACTGCTCAACGTCTCTGCTAGTTAGGAGTTAAATCACTTTGTTTATGCAGACCTACTCACACTACCCTGCATGTGACTTGCACAGCCTTCCTATACACTCCCTGTAAAGATAGATCTAATGTTTAAACTGCTGTTATTACACAGTGTGTTTAATCTAGAATTTCTTATCTTATTGCTCTTTTAGTTTTCTTGCTAAAGCCTGCAGGAAACCTTGATGTGTGATTAAGTTTCAATTAACAGAACAGGAAGAACCTCTAAAGTAAACACACTGTGTTGTGAGCTCTGATTGAAATTGAAACAATTTTTTGTTTTCATGCAGGCTGTGTGAGTCAGTGGCAACAAAGGATTGAGCAGTGAGACTGCAGGGGAATGATCTATACACCAAAACTACTTCATTAAGCTAAATATTTTTTGGTACTTAGAGTATCCCTTTAAATATTATACTTAGCCGATGTTTGCTTTCTTTTTGTGTTCCTACAAGAAGAGTACATCCCATAATGATTATTACACAGCACTCCCTGTGGACACCATAAATCAACTGACCATTGTATAAGCTGAAATCTTACATGTGGTGTCTGAGCTCAATCAGTGGGCAGATACTTTCCATGTATCTGTACCATACTTTTTCAATTGCCTAATAAATGTTTTATTTGTCTGGTTTGCAATATTTTCCTGTAATCACATACAAACTGCCCCATGTCCATGTTCTCAAGAAGTGCTCTTAAAATTCTTCTAAAATTGACAGCCGTATAGTTTGAGTAAATCTCAGTGAAAAGTATTCCTTTTGGTTTTTTCAACAGGCGCTATGCGACCAGTTTGTGACTGAAATTGGTGACCATTTTGCAGAAGGCCAGACTGTGACTGCTAAGGTAACTGAGATCAACGAAGCTAAGAAACGCTTCCTACTAACTCTGAAGATGTCTGACTGCGCACCAGACGACTGCTCAGCAGTGAGCATCGCTCGACTGAGCCAATGTTTCCAAGAACACAAGCTCCTAAGGGATCTGATTAACAGCCGAGGTAAGGCTGTGTTTTGTAGACTTACCAGATATTTCAACCTGCTGGCTCTAAATAGAGGCTATTCTAGAAAATAATTAGACACAATGTGACTATAATCAGAACCCTTTCAAGTCAGCCTTTGTTTTACCATCCATGTTTGCGATTGTCTCCTTCCGTACAGTGCTGTCTTTAAAGTATCCACTTGTTCTAAATTGTTCTCATTATTCAAAGACTCAGAGGACGATGGACATATCACCACGTTGGTCCCAGGAAGAAAACTTAGCTTGGTGGTTGGGGATGTGCAAGAAGATGGGTCGTTCCTGTTCAGTGTTGACCAGATCCCTGGAGCGAAGCAAGTGTCCGCTGCCCAGTGTAACCTTGGAGGTAGTTTCAAAATAACAGCTTATATTTATCTTACTGCCATATACTATGCATTATTATCATTATTCTTATTCTCATTATTATTACTGTTAATGACCTTTTGTGTTGATAACTTCCTAGGCACTTATAATCTACCTTTTATTTGATACATTACATCGTTTTTTTCTCCATTTTTATTCCAGATCAAAATATAGTTAGTGGCCAGAAAGTGAAAGCTGTGGTTCTACACGTTGATGCTGTGAAATCCCATGTCCATGTCTCTCTAGATAAGCTGCTGATGGCCAAGAAGAAAGAGAAAGTAAGTATATTCTTATTTTTAATCACTCTTCGATAGTTGCATAATGAAAGAAGCTTTCCTTTTTTCAACAAACTTTAATTGCCCATGTGACACAGATCTATCCAATTCATTGTTATTTTTCGTATTAAATTTCAGCTCAAAGAAAATTCCACTTTTTTTGCTGTTGTGCAACACATAGCAGAGGAATTTGCTGTTGTCTCACTGGATGGCACTGGTCACCTAGCAGCTGTTCCTCTGTCTTCTCACGTTAACGACACCTTCCGCCCTTCTTCGCCAAAACTCCAATTGGGTCAAACAGTCTCTCTAACGCTAAAAACAGCATGTGTGGAAGAGCACGGACTCTTGTTCGCCATACAGAATGTTTCTACCAAGAATCACAGGAAGTCAGAACAAAAAGCAAAAAACACAGCGGTGAAGATGGCAGCAAGCTGGGAGATAGGAGAGGTTGTCTCTGGAACTGTGAAAACTGTGAAGCCAACAAGCGTCATTGTCTCCATTTATGATAATTTGGTTGGATTTATTCACGTGTCTCAGATAGCAGAAGATGTTACGGTTGGTTCTTACCCAACAGCAACGTTGAAGCCAAACCAGAGCATCTCTTGTCGAATCATTGGAGGTCGAGATATAAAATCACACCGGTATGTGAATAGTACCAAACTTGCACTGTTGCCATGGTGATAAAACCAAAACAAAACCTGTAAATATGTTGTTTTTATTACAGTGATAACCATTCTTAACTATAGTGAATATTCGCTAGAACGGATTGGAATTGTCTGTTGCATTCTATGAAAGTAGGTTGCTAATGCATCTTGTTTTTTCATGACAGATTCCTGCCAATCACTCATCCGAATTTGAAGCTGTCTTTCCCTGAGCTGAGCATCCTGCCCAGGTGTGTTACTGTACATTTTGATAAATCCTTTTGACTCCAAGTCACTTAAACTGTAAACCACAAAGTGATAAGTAAATAGTGTTTGATTTGCTTGTTGTGTCCTTTCCATTCATTACTACTGCTTCATGGAAGTGTCATAACAGTCACAGTTCCTTATCCCTAGAAATTGTTTGAAAGACTATACTGGGGTGAGAGTAAACAAACATTCCTCATCAGCCGTTCAGTATAACACCATTTATCCATGACGCAGTGGGTGTGCATATATGTGCTCCAGCATGTAGCTGAAAATGTCCTGCCAACAAGTACATGTGGGTGCATGACAACACGGAGAAAGACATTTATGCTGTGTGCCAGGACACCCAGGTATAAAATAGAAATTAAAAAATAGAAGTACGTTTTAATGAACTATTGTGCTATGCAAACAAACTAATTTTGTATGTTGCTATATGCTCATAAAGTAATAGAGATCCAGGCACTCCTTGGTTCAAGACAGGTACTTTATTAGGAACCACAACAGCAATGTTTTGACCCCAAAAGGTCTTTGTCAAGCTGGTACATACATCAATTTTCCAATATATATAACAAACTTTAACATCTAAGTGTATATAAGACCTAAAATACACATGTACAACATAAATACAATACAAATATAAGACCAGAGTATACGATTACAGAAATTTCCATTATCGATTAGAGATCCTTGATCAAGATCACAGAGTAATAATATTAAGTATCCTTAACACATAAAAACACATCAAATTTGCAGACTTGTTATATTGCTGTATGCTCAACTGACCTCCACACTGCATTTCCTGAATCTGAATCTGAGCACTGATGCTGGGTTGATACAGTTATCCAAAGTGGTGAAATAGTGAATGTTCACTAATGCTCGTGTGTAAGATCAACCAATGTTCTGCCAGGGGTGCATAAAATAAATCTTAACATTCCCTCACTGGAATCCTAACACGTTCATATCTTAGCTCTTACTGTGACAAAGCATGTTGGAGCAATTTCATACCTCTTCTTTGGAACTGCACGAAATTCAGTTTGTCCAAAAATCCAAAATACCAGTTTTTATGAAAAAGGAGAAATCCATGTGACTGAGTTAGAAATCCAGGCACTACATGTAAATTAGATTAGCCACTGTTCCACAGAATGTTCAGCATTACAGAAGGATTGTTTGAGCAGTACATTATTTATCCCTTCAATGACATGAACAACATCTGCTTTAAATGTTGGAATTTAAAATAAGCTGATGTATGTTTGTTTGGTTTTATTTGCAGTGTAATGGACAAGGATTACAAAGTTCCTCCACCAAAAGACATGAATACATATATTCCAGGCCAGACTATTACATGCTTTGTAGTGAAGGTAAAAATGTTAAACACATTGTGGTATTTCAGGTCGTTTTTAGTCTTTCATATCTATCCATACGTGCACTTGTTGGAATAGGATTGTCACTGGTGTGTAGTTTAGAAAGCTGAAATGTATATTGCTTCTTAAAGGGAGAACCTGCTCTGATCTGATTATCATGCCTGCCCGTATGTAAGATGTGTCAGACAGTCTCCCAGACTCCATATGTAATAATGGGGGTAACGGCTTTATGTGTCTTGTCACTTGGCCGATGGCAGTCTGCCTGTATGTATCAGTAGATTCAGTACTACCAGCAGATATGGCTGCATGCATGCATGCCCACCCACCAGGAAATCCTGTAAGCAGAACCCCTCAGTTCCAATGTCAGGCATGGCAGGATACTGTCTGCATCACTTGTGGGCAGACGGGTGTCAGTAGCAAGATTATCCATTTGTACCTACCTCTGCAGCTGATAATGAATTGGATGCTTATAGCTTTTTACATTGTGTAATTTGTGAAAAAACGGTTTTATCCCATGATATAAATCATTCATTATCATTTTCCAAAATTGCAGTATGATGAGGAGAACAACGTTTTGGATGTAGAGGTCACGGAGGACATTCGAGGGCGAATTGAACATCTGCTTGTTTGTCAGTCTCTAAAAGTAAGAAAATCTGTCCTTATTGGCGGAGTGTGTGAGAGGCTTTTTATTGGGATCTTTAAACATGTTCATTGTGGGTTTTCTCTTTAGGTTTTAAAGCGTCCAGACAAACATTTCCGACCGGGGCAGGCCTTGTCTGCTACAATAATTAAAGGCATCTCTTCTGTAAGATTACTCCACTTATCACTCACAGGTAATGTACCGAATGTGAGACACATGATTCCGTAGGCTGCCATATATTTTTATACTATGTATATAGTTTGCCTTATCTCGTTTCTCTGCCATGTTTTGTAATTTGTTAAAAGTTTTCCCTTAGACTTGACACTTCTGTTCATTTCTGCTCCAACGTGTCTCCTTTCTCTCCCGGTCTACACATCCTTCCCACATGGTTCCACTATTCACTCCATCCTTTCCCACCATTGACATATCTTCTCTGCCTTTATTTCCATCCATACACACTGTTCTCTGCTTCCTCCCCTGATATCCCACACCAAGCTCATTAGCTCTTGAATTTTTCCACCCGGACCCACGATTATCCCCTATTTTTCCTTTCTATTCCTCCTTTTTTCCCCCCCTGATTTTTTACATTTTTATCCATCTGTTTCTGTGCCCTCTACCTTCCCTGTTTCCCCCTTCCTCCCACTCAACATACACCTCTTTCTCCCAATAATAGCACCCACTTCTCTCTCTTTTATAATGTCAGTCCTCACATTTTAATAGATCGCATTTTGTCCCTTACAGGCACCCTCGAATTTAAGGAAGGTGAAGTTGTTTTTGGCTCTGTACAGAACGCCGTGCCCGAGTCAGGTTTGATTGTATCCCTTCCATTTGGAAAGACCGGAAAAGTTGATCTTACTCAAATAAGTGACTGTTTTGCTGATGTTTCATTGGAAAACTTTACGCCTGGGAAAATTGTCAGGTTAGAAGCATCTCATTTTGTTTAAAATGTGTGCATGAATACTTAACCAGTTATAAAATAAGTTATTTTTTATTTACTTACCTGAAATCCTGGTAGTTAAGGTTGGTCCAATCAAAGGCTTCTCATAGAGAAGTCAAAGGGGGAGGGAGCCTAAAAAAACTGAATAGGGAGGTGAGGGAGGGAGGGGCTGCATAGAGGAAAAGGAGTCAAAATAGATTCTGTTGCCAGCATGCAGTTTGCACTGACGACCGTCAAGAATATGCACAGAATTAACATTGGGCCCAAGTCACGTATGCCTGGGGTGTAACTAGCCCCCGGTACAGCCAGATTTCTTCCTCCATGACTACTTCTAAAAGCAGAAGTGGTCATGGACATTGAAGTAACCCTTTAAGGGTGACTTATTTCAACAAAATCTTGTTTATATATTGGCAGAAGTAAAGTGACACTATGACCTTTGAGGGTTTTTTTTGAGAATCTTTATGTAAACCTCATAATGAATGCTTTATCAATTGAACATTCCAATGCAATTAGGAGATCTAATTACGTCAGTTCTACAAACATAACAACTGGCTGACTACTTCTGTCATTTCTTCTCTAACTCTAGGTGTTACATACTCTCTACTTCACCTGCGATCCGGCTTTCTCTCCGGCAGTCTAGGTAAGATTATTGTAGATCTATGTCTATATTTCAGCAGTTGGCTTTCTAAAGCAGACAAATAACATTTAACCATAACACCGAGACACAGCTTACGAGGTAAGCTCAGAAGTATTGTAGAAAACGAAGCAAGTTTAATTTCTGGTTTAGTGAGACCTCATTTAGAATTCACACAGCCTGGGAATCTGCAGAAAATGCAGGAATTTCAAAATATGTCAGTCCTTTTACATTTAAAATATAGTATGTTATTTGATCTTTATTTTTTATGTAATACATTAATGATGGGGCATCTCCAGCAAGTTCCACATTGCTAGAGCAATTCATCTAATACGATATTAAAGGAGCACTATAGGGTCAGGAACACAAACACGTATTCCTGACCCTATAGTGTTAAAACCATCTAGCCCCTCATGCCTCCATAAATATAAAATTTTACTGTATTCAAGCCAGAAGCTGTAGATCTGCATGCTGTTTGCCCTTTAGAAAAACAAGCAGTCTGCTGACATCATCAGAAGTGGTAGCCTGATCCAATCACAATGTTTCCCCATAGGATTGGCTGAGACTGACAAGGAGGCAAATCAGGGGCAGAGCCAGCATGATTCAAACACAGCCCTGGCCAATCAGCATCTCCTCATAGAGCTGAATTGAATCAATGAATCTCTATGAGGAAAGTTCAGTGTCTGCATGCAGAGGGAGGAGGCATTTTAGGCAGCCATGACCCAGGAAGGATCTCTAACAGCTATCTGAGGAGTGGCCAGTGAAGTTATCACTAGGCTGTAATGTAAACACTGCATTTTCTCTGAAAAGACAGTGTTTACAGCAAAAAGCCTGCAGGTAATGATTCTACTCACCAGAACAAATTCAATAAGCTGTAGTTGTTCTGGTAACTATAGTGTCCCTTTAATTTCCTTGTATTGTAACTTGCATGGTGATAGGGGACTTGAATTCTAATATTGTAGCAATGTTCTTTCTCATTTCTTTGTTACAGGTTAAATCCCAAAGGAAATATCAACGTGAAAGACCCTGAAATCACTTCGGTTGAAAGCCTTGAAGACGGGCAGCTGGTTAATGGCTTTGTTGAAAAAATAAACGAGAAAGGCATATTTTTTAGGTATCATTTGTTCATTCATTCATTATTTGTTTTGCATGGTCTGTGTGATTTCTTTGGGGCAGTTGATACTTCAGTCGCCAGTAAGTTTTCTACAACTGAACATGGTTTGGATGACACGACCAATCAATGAAACCTCTTCACACTGAGGATGCTACCAGAGCTCCACAATGACTTTAAACGTTTGATATCTGGGAGTTTTATAAACTGCTCATTCCTCAGCAGGACCAACTCTGGCTTTCACTATGGACATAGTTTACCCAGATACACCCAGGAATGTTCTAAAGTTAGAGACAGACGGTATAGCCAGACAGAACTGGTCAGGACAATAATATCATTACAAATAGTTCAATATAATTAGGATATTTTTAACCCTTAGAACACATCCATAGTGATACAGGGAGATTGTTTTCTACTTATTGACCCATACACCCGCTCCCCCACATAACTACTAAAACTCTTAAAGGGAAACATATAAATTACACAAGGGCAGATAAAAAAAAAAAAAAAATATATTAATTATCACACTCTCACCTTCTCCCATACATTTACCCACAGCTAAACTTTCTTTAACAGTCACAAGTCATCCAAACTACATACACATCTTCCGATCGTGCAATGCTCTTTCTCATGCTAGTTTATAATCCATCTCGTGAACTCTGACCTGTACCCAATCCCTGCCATAAAATGTTCCCTTCCCAGCCTACTGATCTGTTTCAATCTTTATTATTTTTATTGCCATTGTGCCATTTAATGATTCTCCGGCGACTAGGAATGGTAATGAGGTTTTATTTGTTTCTGTCACAGGTTATCAAGCTCTGTTGTTGGCCATATCCAGTTTAAGAATGTAACCAGTTATTATGTTGAAAACCATACCATATACAAAAAATATATACCAGAAGGAAAACTGCTTACAGTCAAAGTTCTCAGGTAAGCAATAATACATATAAAATAAAAATACACTTAGAATTAAGTTTTTTCCCCCCCATAGATTAATAGCTTATTTTATTAATATATGTTGGGTTATATGACAACCAAGGCACTCCCCCTGCAGGCAATCTGTCAATCATGCCGATCCAAGTCATGTGATTGCGGTGTCATAATGATCACATGACTTGGATCCGACAAGAAAGGCTGCAGTGAGGGCCCTATCATTTGGGCATGCTTTGCTACCCTAAGCGCGTTAAAGCCCTCCTTTTGCAGGATGGCATAGCACACCCTAATGTCTGTAAGGGGTCAAGCTGTTGTGGGACAACAATTCTCAGCATTATGGGAAATGTCGAACACAGCTGAAAGCCAGGATTGGACACGCTATATCTCTATACCAGTATCCTGCCACCTACATACTATGTTATGTTTTCTTGCAGCAAAGACACCAAGGAGAATCACGTACAGCTCTCCCTTCTCCCGGTAGACACTGGGAAGCCGTATGTTATTCCAGAGTCTGCCGGCCTAAAACAAAAGAAAGGCAAGAAAAGGAAACAAACCGCCTCAGAGGGTGACACCAAGGTATTTTATTAATGCACATAGTGGCCCATTTGGGTATTCGGCTCATACAGTGTCCATCTTTGTATTATAAAGTCGCTCATTTAAAGAGCATGTTACACCACAGCTTTAAAGATCTGTGTTTCTCTGTCCTCCAGTAGTAGACCACTTTCAGTACTTTGAAATCATATTAATTGAGCAGTTGTCTTTAAAGGACACTGCAGACCCCTAAAGCTTTGTGTGAAGAATGTGTTTGTTTTTTCCCATTTTAATAGGAATTACCACTTTTCTAAATTAACATTGTTACACCCCCAGCTGTGAATCAGACAACCGGTTATGTTATTTCCTGGTTGTTTATCTTAGTGGAGCTAAACTCAAGAGGCAGCAATTACCCGGTGCATCTGTCTTGCAAACAATTCTCATTGAGCTGCATTGGCGAGTCTTGTGATTGGGCGGGGTTAGAAGTGGAGGGCTTGCAATGGCTGCAGACGAGATTTGCAGGTTTTGAAAGCTGTTTTTAGACATAACCCATTGAAAAATAATGCATAAGTAAAAGCATGCAGGTTTTATTTGGGGGTACATCTACTAAACAGAGTTATAGCATCAGCTGCCCCCTTATTCATAGATTGTAAGCTTGTCAGTAATACATTTTAGCTTATGTTCATCTCGTATTCACTTAGTGTCTGGCATTAGTTAAAACATAGCATACAGTTGGCGCTCTCTGAATTTGACCTTACAGTGGTTGTTTTTAGTAATCACGTGCTTTGTCGCAGGTCGATACCAAAAAGAAGAAATCGAACCAAGAGAAAACAGAAGATGAAGATAGTGGAGTGGAGGTATTGTCTCAAGAAAGCAAGACTAAAGAAAAACCAAAGGTAAGGCTGGAGGTGAAAGGCCAAAGAGCCTCACATTGGGGTTTATTCACAGCATACTGAATTGGAATGAATTGCAAAATTAGCCAAACTGTGACTATGGCTTTGAGTCACTCAAGTTGGGGAATTTTTCCAGTTCTGCTACTTGGTCTAAATTTTGCAATGTTTAGTTCATCGCAGTTTTTGTGTTGAGTGAATAAATCTGACATTGTGACCCTCGCAGGTAATGGGGGAAGGGGTCATTTATGTGCTGGGTTTTGATTTTTTTCCTCCCATTCTTCCTTTTATTTTTTGCAATGCCCTCCCTCCCTAGAATTTGAAATCCCATGGCATTTACAATTTAATATTATATTATATATACATTAACCTTTCGTATTTGTAGTATAGGAAATTATTTTTGTTTTATGTTTGGTTATTTTTATTTTCATAACATTAGTCCATTTTTTTAAATGAATGAAGGGACCATATTAACCTTCTGTATGGGTACATCATCCCAGTCGCTATATTGAAATATTAAGTAGCTCTTCCAGTTGTATGCCTTGATTGGTATCTGACCGTTGCTATCGATCAAGTTGCACTTTAATGAGTTAAGAGAAAAATAGTGGAAGCAGAAACCATTCGGATTGTATCTTCAGATTAACATCTGGCACTAACAAAAAAGCAACACATTTTACATAAAACAGAAATACCTCTCTGTTCTTATCTGCATACAGTAAAGTCATAAACTTGACTTGTATTTATTTAAGAATGACACTATAGTGGTTTTAAACCTGCTGGATTATGAGCATTTTATTTAATGTGAGAAGGTAATTAGGGATGCACCAAAATGGAAATTCTGGGCAGAAACCGAAAATTCAGGATGCCCTTGGCCCGAAACCAAAAATGACTTTTTTCCCTAAATGATTTTAAAATATTTTTTTCTATAATTTTATTAATTAGACTTTTTGATTGTCAGCAACTTACAGTGGATTTTGTATTTTAGGCTAGAACAACTAAACTAGGAAAACAAACAAAAAAATAAAACAATTGTTTTCAGTTTGGCTAATTTGACCTAAAATAAGAAAATCAGTTTTATTTCACTCTCACTTCCTCACAATTGACAAAAAAAAAAAAAACCTGAATTAATTACTCAAAGAGGTAGCTGTTGTAAAACTGCAACTCCCATGATGCTCTGTGAGTCTCTTAAGGGTCAGAAAGCATGATGGGAGTTGTAGGTCTCAAGCACCTGTCGCTGCTGGTTCTACATGTGCTGTCCAGGGTCGGCCCTCTCACCCCCACTGCTGCTGCCGTTGTCTCCCCCATAGAGAGGTGTTTTCTCCCCCTAGTGTTTGCGGATGCCGGGGATGTCCGGTGGGGTGGTCACCCAGTACTGGCACAGGTCCCCCGAGGAGCTGACTTACCTTGCCAGAAAGCTGAGCTGGTAGTCCTCCCCTCGGCCCTCCGAGGCTGCATGCTCTCCGGGACAGCTTCACGGGTCACATGACCGCCCAGCGCCTGCCTTTCACAAAACTTGCTAGCGCGCTGCAACACAGGGGGTACATTTCTGCACATTTGGCCCATTTTCGGTCGAAAATTTCGGCAGTTAAAATTTTTCAATGCATCCCTAAAGGTAATGCTCACCATCCATAGCCACTATAGCCTTGTATATCTCTTAAATTGAGCCATCAGAAAATTACTGGCTCGTAAGTGGATCATGATAAGCCTCCTAGACCAATAAAGCTGGCTCCTGCCCAGGTGTAATCATTGTCCTGATATACATTGTATTTAGAGATCTATGTGAATTCCTGTAATCTCTAATAAATGTTCCTATTGCATCTACATATAAAACCGTTGTTTAATGGGTTACATTTACTCTTTATAATTTCAGAAGAAGGGTGACACTAAACCTACTATCACAAGGCTGCAAGTCCCCGCCAGCTTTTCCTGGGACGTTAGTGTGGAAACCCTAAAAACATCCTTAGTTGATGCCCAAGAGAGCAGCTCAGACAGTGAGGATGAGGAGGAACAGCGACTAAAGGTATGAATTTTCCTCTTGCACTCTGAATGGACATTGAGCAGGACATGGAGGTTAATATAGGGTCAGTAGGTTTATGTGAGAAGCATTGTCAGTGTCCTCTACAGGCTGCAGCTGATCTAAGCTCATTTTCTAGCACGCTAATATCCAAATGACCAAACTTAGGCTAAAAAAGCCTGGCTATAGCCGAGTTTGTGAATTTTTCAGTTAATTTTTTTTAGCCTACATTTTGGTTTTCCATTAGCTGCAATTTTGTAGATTAGTGAACAAACCCTTATATTTGCTTGTCTCCTAAATGTAACAAATCTCTATTTGTGAAGTCTAGAAAATACAAGTAATCGTAGGCTTCAACAATGCTGTACTAAGCTCCCTGACAACCGTAAATAAATTATAAAAAGAATCCTAAAGTTGGAATAAGGTTTTTTTTTTTTGTTTGTTTTTTTTATAAAATAATATATATATAATCTCTTTTGCATCTGTCCATCTTCATTAATAACTCCCCACAACGTGCATCAGATTATTTTAGTGTAAGGGAAGATAATCGGTGGCCAGGAGACAATGTTGCTATGATTTACTCTTTAATTACATAATTTGCATGAATGCTATATGAATATCAATAACATCGTCCTGGGAGGGCTTTGGATTAATGGGTTGTCCAGTGCTTACGTTTTGTGTTTTGCAGTTTAATCTGTGTTGGACTTGGCTGGAATTTGCTATTAACGCACCGTACTGGGGCTGCACCACACCGTATCACACATGCTATATACTCATACGTAATAGAAACTCACAGACTGGGATGGGAAGACAGCCAGTGCTTCAGATTTTAATACTGGGTCTACCTGTCAGTCTGTCACTGGGTTTTTCAATAATACTACTCAAAAATAAAACAAATATATATGTACAGGTGACTTTGGATAAAAGCATATATCTTTCAACTTTTCCGGCTAATTAAGATAAAGCTTTAAAGGGAAACTCACAGTTGGTTTTAACAGTTTTTTTTATACATAATATATAAACGGTTTAAAAATACAGAAGGGCAAATAAAATGCTTACATTTGAAATGACCTCTTCACTAAACCTGGAAGTGACGGAAACATTGCTAGACTACTACCGCTACTGCAGAAAGCCAATAACCCAACTACAACTCCCATAAACCCAACACCTAGAGCAGCAAACATAGAATCTATGCAGGATGGAAGGGAGGAGCATAGTTCGTGTTGGGGATTGTAAAAAAAAATAAAAAAAAATAAAGCTAATATACACAATGCACCAGATGCACGTGGGTGTCTTGAGTGTCCCTATAATACAGTGGAGGGCCTGCTCTACATTTAAGTTGTCTGATATTTTCAATGGAAGCTGGGTTCCTTTTAATCACTGTCTTTATTGTTGAAGCCAATGATACTTTGAATCAAAAACATTTATCAAGACTGGAAATTTTCATTCACTTTTTTTAGACTAAGAAAACAAAAAAAGAGAAGGATGCGGAGAAGAAAGAAGCTGAAAAGGAGCTTTCTAAGATAGAAGCCACCCTTCTGGATCCCAATCGGCAGCCTCAGTCCGCCGACGACTTTGACCGACTCGTTATTAGTTCCCCCAACAGTTCCATTCTCTGGCTTCAGTACATGGCCTTTCACCTCCACGCTACAGAGATTGAGAAAGCACGAGCTGTGGCTGAAAGAGCTCTGAAAACGATATCTTTTAGGTACCAATCCTCAAGTTGTTATCCTTAATTCCGGTTAACTTTTGTAGGACTTTAGAAGGAACATTTCTTTGAAGTTCAGTAATGTAACTATCTCTTTCATTTAAAATATATATATTTTTTAATATTCTTTTCTCAGGGAAGAACAGGAGAAACTCAATGTTTGGGTTGCGTTATTAAACTTGGAGAACATGTATGGGGCAGAGGACACTCTACTGAAGGCTTTTGAACGAGCCGTCCAGTATAACGAGCCTCTTAAAGTGTTTTTACAGCTGGCTGATATCTACATCAAGTCTGAAAAGTTTAAGGTAACGTTGATTGATACTTTCTACAATTATACTTTCAGGTGGCCTGTTTTTTCAATATCCCTATGGTCTCATATCATCTAAAATGTTTGGAATGTTAGAAATACACATTTGTATACCTGACGGTATAGTGTTTAATACAAACACTCTAGTGCCCTAATTTTTAAATTTTAGGCCAACAATTCCAGTTCAGTTATTTTGGCCTACAATTTGAAATTCACTTTGAGTAACCAACAGCTCACTATAGTCCAAATCCTGCCCGAGATAATGTTTTCACTAAATCAAAGTTAGAAGTGGTACCTTGGTTACACAATTCTACAAGTCTGTGTGTTTTTGATGATCTGTTGCAACATCTCATTGTCTTAAATTTCTCTTCCAGGAAGCCGAAAATTTGTTTAATACTATGCTGAAACGGTTCCGCCAGGAAAATACAGTATGGTTGAAATATGCTACATTCCTCCTAAAACAAGGGCAGGGGGAAGCTACACACAGGTTATTGCAAAGAGCCTTGAAATGTCTCCCAGAAAAAGAACGTGAGTATTCTGATATCCTACATCATGAACATTGTTCCTTGTAATACATCAGTGACACTGGTTTTTCCCCTCCCCTGTTGTCATTATTTATAAACTAGATGTGTAATTACCTTCCACAGCCGCTGCATATTCTATTTACTTCTTTATGATCTATATATTAAACGATGTGTGGATATAAAATGTCATTGCAATATATTAGAATTCCATCCAGTTGGTGTAATTTACCAGCTCACAGGAGCTCTAACCCGATTGAAGGATCAGGAATGCCGATTGCAGATTAGTTATTTTTGCAAGTAACATTGTAAATGTGCTTCTAGATCTGTTAATAATAGTTCTTTAACTGGTTTTCATGCATGTTTGAAATCCTTTTTAAATAAGACTTCTAACAAATAGTGAACGCATAACCCAATTATTTCACTATATAATGTGAACAAGTTAAAAAAAAAACAACCTCTTTATTTGATCTGATTATAGCAGCCTTGCACTATAGGGTCATTTATTGAATACAGCCTTGCTCCACTATTTATATAAATGGTTTTCAAAGCAGAGAAGGCTTGGTTTGCAGGAATGCAAGCTAGAGACTCCTTTACCCATTACCTTTATATTTTCATTGGGGATGTTTTTATAGTCAAGATTTTTACTTTCATACCCCTGCCGGTGCTTGCTAGGTGTCCCATTCCTCAGAATGTCCCTTTCCTTCTATCTTTCAGATATTGATGTCATTTCAAAGTTTGCACAGCTTGAATTCCATCTTGGTGACGCAGAGCGCGGAAAAGCCTTGTTTGAGAGCACGCTGAGCAATTATCCAAAGCGAACAGACCTGTGGTCCGTTTACATAGACCTGATGATGAAACATGGCCTCCAAAAGGAAGTGCGGTGAGTCGGCATGCTTTAGTGATGCAATCCAACAGGGATGGCTAAGGTACATTCGTATCTATAGCATAACTACAGCCTCTTTGATGCTTTGCCAGCATTAAGGCTAGCAAAGTATAATGGGAGTTTTAGTCCTACAACATGTAGTCTTTTCCAATCTGATCATTGTATGCATTTAAACATCACACTGCTAACAGAGCAAATATATTTATAAACCTACACATTTATTCAACTGAAGGACACGAAGGGTCCTACAGAGTTCCCTCTGCAGTAACTTATGAATGCTATCTATGTAATGGCATCACTTTTTAAATTTGTTTCCTATAGTCAGTAAATGAGGTGGCAGTCCTACATTTGCTCAGGAATATTGCCTTGTATAGTTATGTTAAAGGGTTCACTCCTAGGCCAAGCCACTTTGTGTATAAACTACAATATCGTAGAGTTTTATAATTTTAAGCAATACCAAGCACCTTAACAAACACCAAGCAATATAACCACTGTTGTGGTTATGGTGCTAGAGGTTCCCTGACAACCCCCTCCCTTCCGTCGTTTGCTCCAGGAAGCAGAAGGAGTGTTGAACACCCAGCCCAGGTAAGTTGTTATTTCATTTGTAAATGGTTTAACTACTTACCCTGGGAGGGCACAAAGACACACTTGAGACCATAACCAATACAGTAGACTGTCTAAAATCCACACTAATTATATTAAAAAAAAAAGTATTGAGAGTTTGCTTCACTTTCTATTATTTCTAAGTGCTAACCAGATTTCCTAATAGAGTTATAGTTGTTTTTTCTTTTCTTTTTTTTTTTTTTGTGTTCGGTCATGTGAATTAACCTGATAGATTGTTGTCATGCTGTTAGATATTCACAGTTTAATTAAATTAACACATTTTATGTTATTCTCCCAGAGCTATTTTTGAGCGTGTCATTAATCTGAGCTTAGCTGCCAAGAGAATCAAATTCTTCTTCAAACGCTACCTGGAATACGAGAAGAAACACGGCACCGCAGAGAGCGTCCAGGCTGTGAAAGAGAAGGCTCTTAAATACGTGGAGTCCAAAAGTTCTTTGACAAACACATAATACTTTGTGTCAACTGGGACTTGTGTTAATGGCGGTGTAAATATGGCATATCTGCCAGGAGAGACTTCTTTCCGTTGTGTGTGTGATCACACAGTTTGTCATCTGAAAGCTTCTCCACGAGTTTTCTGTCCACTGAACCCACTGCGCTCAACGTCATAGTTTCTATATTTGTCTTTCTTTAATTGTACATTTTTGACATTTTCTAGGAGGATATTATTTGTGTTGTAACATAAAACAAATAAAATCCCACATCTTTCATTTTATATTTGTGTATTATTTTATGAGACAGAAACAAGTTAAATTAATGGTAAATGGAAGTCTCACCCCAGGATTATCCTTGTTTTCATGTCGGCTATTTATTTTACTTTTTTTGGGTTAATCCAGAAAAAGGACGCGTCAAGAATTTATTTTCAACTCCTTTTTTTGGCTTGAAATTTGCACTTTCAATTCTTTACAATTTACCTCCGGTCTGTCCTGCACTTTGCCCGGTCTCCTCTCTGACTTGCCCTGCATAGGGGCACTTCCCCAAGGATGGCAAACCTCCTTCGTAATGCTGTCATACTGGGTTCTTTGCCAGCATTCCATTAATTCAGAGTAATGCCAGTCACTTCGTTACCATAGCCCAATGAAAACAACATACTTTGACAGTATCTTTAATATAAAGTATTAATTTCCTAACATTTCTAATATAATGCACTTACTCAGTGATTTACAAACATAACACAGTCCAAAGTATCAGTGAGCACATAACTGGAACATTATATGAACTGCCAAAGCATATATTTTAAGTAATTAATGTGCAAATTAAATAACAAGAATATAGATCAGTTTGTGTGTATACTTTCTGTAATATGTGTGTGAATAAAAGGAACCCCCTAATTTAAAAATCAAACATTTAAAATATGTATATTTATTTATTTAACTTTTAGGACATTGAACGATTTGGATATAAAATAAACTTGCCTTTATTCCAGCATTGGTAGAGTCTCTGCAGTTCCAATCCAAAGTGCGGTGAAGTCACCAATACGAACACATGGTGCGTGCCAATCTCCATAATACTTAACACTGAAACCAATGCATGCTAGAGCTGTGACAGCACAGTAAATGTGCTGCACAACTGGTCGTCTTTGCAAAACGCCCCCGTAGTTGGAGAAAAAGCTTTTAATTTACCTTCTTTTGTGAAGTGGATTTAACTGTTACTTACATTTGCCGTTATAACTCCCAATTGTTTGTCACTTCATAGAGTAAGGTCCATGTATGTACTGCACCAACAAGTACCCACACACAACGTCACCCTTGAAAAAAACACTCCAATTCAAAATGTTTTATCCATACTCGTATCAGATCTCTTCCGAGTCCATATCTAACCAAGCCATTCACCAATTTATAGAAATCAACGCAAGAGATGTGTATATATATTTAATTAATGTTTTATTTATTAAGCAGAATTCATAGCATCAAACTTGTGTTGCCGCATTTGGAAGTGATATAAGAGTACAGGGAGAAAATGGAACTGAGATATAATTGCAGATTTGGCCAGGAATGCGGCTAATAAATGGGCAACCTCTGGACTCACAAAGAGTCATCCTTCAGCACTCAGGAGAGGAAAAACCCCCTGTGGAGGAAACCTCTGGGGAACCATGGCTGGAAGGACTGCCCTTCCCTCTGGGCATTAAGAGGTGAATAGTTCCCATATTTACTATAATAGTTTTCCTGATTAAAACCATGGCTGCATTAACTTATGAGTAACTTCTCTCACAGTAATGGAAGTGTAACAGTATAAATATCATTACCCACTCAGTAAGTGTAAGATCTTTAAGAAAAGAAGGCCATTTGGGATTACGTTTGAGATTCCTCCACTATATCTGTCCAGACAGAGGATGGTACTCGAGAGGCTTCTGGTTGACAGCCTCTTAGGCATCAGTCCCATTGGGTGTTATCGGTTACGTGTATGATACAGTGCATGAGAGAAAAACAGATCTAAAATTCCATATATCTAGCTGAATGTCTCAGACATTTAGACACTAAATTATACCGGAAAAAAATAAGCTCATTTGATATCCTTCAATAACTCACAGGGTCTTCAGATTCCTTTACGGGAATCGTCTGATTCAGACTCAAAAGGTGAGTTGACCCACTTATTTCATTAAAAAAATTTATTTTCCTTTTCATTGATAGTATAGATAAACATGAGCATATACATCATACATAACATGACAATAACAATGTGCCAAATGACCGTGGTATATACAATTATCTATGTTCATACTTGACTGCTTTCAAGTGATAATACTGCTCAACCTGGACTAACAAAATAAGTCCTGTAATAACATTTGCAAAGATTCCAGTGGAGATGAAAAATACTTAAATTATTTAATGTCCTCTCTCATGGCAGCATCCGCAGCTCAAACGGTCCAATGTACTCTACAATCGATATAGAACTCATCGCAAAGTGTACACACATTCCAACAAAGAATTAGTCCCTTCTGGTGCTTGACAAATACCTCCTCCATATTAGAAAGGCAGGAGTAAAACCAGAAAACCAGTGTTTGTTTCATCCTCTACATGAGGGGTCTTTTATACGTCTGAGGGGAGGAACTAACCTTTACCTAGTTAATATATTATGGAAAAGTGCTACCTGTCCATTCACAAGATGGGAGGCAAAATCCAAATGCTGTAATGCCCCATCTATTTCACAAATTGCAATTATCACGTCCCTGTACATCTTACAGTGGGCATTGAGACGGAGATACTGTATGTCAAATTCTAGAATATTTAGAACCCAATCTTGCATGTAGATCACCTACAACGAATAGGGCATTATACTAGTTACTAATGATGCAATCTATGGAGGAACCATCGATATTCAGGCAAAATACCATATTTAGTCTAATATGATAGAGTAGGTTAATGTAAACCTGGACAACATTCAAACACAGTAAGAGCAATAAGATGTTATTAGCAAAAACATTACAAACCGTAATAATGACCAGTGTATTAAATTATCTCTGACTGAAGAAATCTTATAATAGATCTAGTTATAGGAAAGACACATCTTGGGATCATAATAAAATCTGCATTATTATAGCTATGAAGTTATTGTTGTGAGTTCAACCCTAGCCAGACTCTGTATAAAGCCTTTTATCGAGACATTGTGAAAATTACAGGGCAGAATGTAACACAACTAGCTAAAATGAAATATGGGGGGCGCAATAAATATTATAACGCATACACATATTTGTTTACAATAATGTTAAAGCATACCTTTTGGGACAGAAATCACTTTGTAAAGCTGGTATAATGCATAAACATTAATATAGAGGCTAGAAAATCAAGAATGACAAAAGCATAAATGAATGCAATAAAAAAATAGACCACAGGTATGGAGAATCGACCAATCAGTGTAACATTATACAATAACACTGACAAGCCTTAAAAGGATAAACTCCCACTACTGACAGAAAACAAAACTGATTACACTATCTATACAATAAGTCTAATAAAAATGAATAAATTAGCACACTAACGTCTAATATTGAAGAGTAAAGTATACCTGCCAACCATTAAACTATCAATTACACAAATATTCACATACACTGTAAAATTCATTATAAAAATAATTCCTAGCCAAAACATAAATATACAAGTCATAATAAAAATTATAAATAATTTAAAAAAATAGTATTCACAATGTCACAAGTTCTACATTCTCATTAGACCATTCGGAGTGAGTATTTCCAAGCTATACATCAACTTAGTCTCAGCTCTTAATTGAAGTCTCTTTCTCTGAGAATGAGAGCCTATCGGTGGGATCCACTTAGTCCCCACAATCGATGATGACATAGGGTCAGCTGTAGGATATTATTTAAAATCTGCAGAAATAATATTACCAAAGGAAGGTTGGACAATCGATCTACAATGCTCCCTAGATGGATTCTTAATTCTTCTAAAGGTCTGGCCTACATACTGTAGACCACAACCACATGCCAGAAGATACGCCACATACCTACTGCTACAGGGAAATATTAACATTAGATGAATTAGAAAACAAAGTAAAATTACTGGTCTGAAGTTAAATATTATACATTGCGTCGGGGGCGTGGCTACCGGCGGAGCAAGATGGACGTGTAATTCTTAGCTCCTGCACATGGGCTCCAACAAAGGCGTCTCAGCACCCGAAATAGACGACCCAGACACACAGAAAACAACTATGTTGCAACCTAAACAAAAAAGACAAGCCACCAAAGCCGAAAAACAAAATTTGGGACAAAATGCAGCGCCGACCAGACAAACGATCCAGCCGCACCAACAAGATGGCGGATAAGAAACACACGATGGCAACCCCTTCACTGACCCAGCCGACCAGACAATGGAGGAGCCGGTCACTAAACAATTCCTTCTGGAACAACTGGGAGCATTCTCCAGCAAAATGATGGCTGGCTGGGAGGCGGGCCTATCAAGCCTAAGAAAGGATATCGGAGAGCTGGGAGCGAGAACCTCCCGCGTGGAGGAGAGAATGGAGGAAACTCAAGAAGCACACAATCACTTAATAGACCAAGTAAATACATTGCAAGTGACCATATCCACAATGGAGAACAAGCTCATGGATATTGAAGATAGGGCGAGGAGAAATAACTTACGATTGTGGGGCATACCGGAAACGGTGGCCCCCGCGGACCTCCAGGCCTATCTGCACGAATTCTTCCATGTGCTCTCACCGGATACGCCATCGGCTATGCTACTCCTGGACAGGGCACACAGGATACCCAAACCTCAACACCTACCACCCTCTGTCCCCAGGGATGTAATCTTGTGCGCTCATTACCACCATATTAAAGAAATCATACTGAAACAGAGCAGAAACAATAAGAACATCCCCAGCAAATATACTGACATAAAGATATTCCCGGACTTGTCAGCCGCAACGCTGAGAAGGAGGAAAACCTTCCAACCCATCACCACCATCCTCAGGCAGCACCAAATAGCCTACCGATGGGGTTACCCCCTCAAGCTTCTCATCTCCAAAGAAGGCGCGACGAAGGTACTCAACTCACCGGAAGATGGAGAAAAGCTCCTCCGAGAATGGAATCTACCCACACCGAGCAAACCGACAAGAGAAACTGCCGCGCTGCACCGAGAATGGCGAAAAGCATAGTAACCATAGACTTATACCAGCCACTCTGCACTACTAATATGATATAACACGTAGAGGTTGGTAATGTATATAGAGAACCAATTGTTTATGTTTTATGTTTTTTGTTAACTTTGATGTAATTCAACCCGCATAATTTACCTGTATAGACAACACATACTAGCACGCCAATGAACACCCGAACCCCGAAATGCCAAAGATTATGCCCCACTCAGTTTAGATCTACTCCCCTTCTAACTGGGAACATAAACCTGATAACCCACACCTAAGACAAGAGGGTTATGAATAACCTATTAACCCTAGCACGCTAGAGCTGACGCGGTGCTAATACGCAGGAGCAAAACTAGATACACCAAAATCAGATTGACTATCTAATATTCTAAAGCTGAAAAGTCCAGAGGACAAAAAAAAAATAAAAAAAAATTAAAATACAATAATACTAATAATAAACCACTATATATTATAGATAGGCAACCCACACAGCCAGAGTACGGGCACGCACACGACAACTATGTTGCCCCATAAATTAAACGCAGCACAGACAAGTCAGCATATGCAGAACAAGGAGCAGTAGCACAGTGACGAGTAACAAGGTACTACGAAATGGAACTGATAATAAAGTATGCTCACACCCTTTCCCACTTCAGCTCTAACATCACGGTACTGCACCAGAAATCCTAATCAGGCGATCGCCAGCAGAACATACCTATACCACCCAGAGCACATTAGACAAACACAAAAAAGGGACACTGACCTGGCATTCATTTCGGGGGACATGACATGACTTAAATAATGAAGGAGCCCAGGTAGCCTCCTTCGTGAGCAGAACACACATGCTCACCACACCCCAGGTACTACCGAGGAGTACCAAGCCCCACACCTGGGCATTGTTGTACATAGTTGAGTTCTCGACGAGACTCATGTTTCCACCCCACCAATCCCTAACCCCAGTTGCAAACCACAAGAACAATTACAGACCCACTCTGCCCAAAACTACACAAGCTAAGCAAACAGCCTGCTCATCAACCATCACCAAGTACACAGCACGGCTGGCACACCAAGGCAAGCTCTCACTAAACCTTAAACTATACTGCCCACCAACTGACGATAAATTTAAACTAGACCAATCCCATAATGAAAATATACTTGCATAATGTTCGGGGACTAAACTCTCCCCAAAAACGCCAAATACTGCACACAGAACTGAAAAACCATAATGCGGATGTGATCTGCCTCCAAGAAACTCACTTCAAAGGACAGAAATCACCATCTATAGACCTCAAACAATTCCCAAACCAATACCACTCTACACAAATCCAGAGGAGTCAGCATCCTAGTACACAAATCAGTCGCATTCGAGCCAATCAAAATAGTCAAAAACGCCAATGGGAGATACCTTATACTAATATGTAACCTCAATGACGTCACATACACCATAGTCAATATCTACGCACCAAACGACAATCGATGGCACTTCCTACAAAAGATACTGACTAAAGTGAGCAACATACAACAAGGCATATTAATATACTGTGGAGACCTGAATCATATCCTAGACCCCGAAATGGACACTACACTAGACGCAAAAAACCCCAGATTGAAATCTCTCAGGCCGGCCTGCTCCAGACTTAACAAACTGCTAATACAATTTAACTTACACGATGCGTGGCGCACACTGCACCCTGGAGATAAGGACTACACTTATTATTCCCAAGTGCACAAGACCCACTCCAGGATAGATCATTTTTTCGTGACCAGCACAGGACTACCACAAACACATCAATGCACACACGGTGACATAACATGGTCTGACCATGCCCCAGTGATACTGACACTCACTGACGCATTCTCGTACAAAGGCAAGGGCTCATGGAGACTGAACAACTCACTGCTCCACGACCAAGAATTCATTCTCACACTAGAACAAGAACTTAAACATTACTTTATTACTAACGATGACCCCCAGACCACGGCCCCGATCCTATGGCAAGCACACAAACCAGTTATACGGGGACTGATGATTCGCAGAGCATCATATCTCAATAAGCAAAAGCGAGCAGCACTTATGAAACTGCTCATACAGCTAAGAGATACCACCCAAACTTACTACCAAACAAAACAACAGGATCTCCTGACGGAAATCCAAACCATAACCACCAAAATTAATGAACACCAATTCCAAAAAACGGCATACACCCTGAAAAGATTTAAGATGAACCACTATGCGAAAGGGAATAAAGCTAGCAAACTATTGGCCAACATGCTACGCAAAAAGCAATCTAATGCTAAGATCCCATACATCCTCACAAAAGATAACCATAAACTCTGGAACCCACAAGACATGAATAAAGAACTAGTGACCTATTACAGCACCCTCTATAACTTAAGGGAAGACAAAACCCTACACCAACCAACCGTTTCAGACATTGAGGGGTACCTACAGCGGATATCACTGCCAACCCTGACAAACGAACAAAAAAACAAACTGTCTGAACAAATCTCGACAATAGAACTGAAAGACGCTATCACCAGACTACCTACAGGGAAATCCCCAGGCCCAGATGGATTCACAAACCAATATTACAAGACCTTTGCACCTATACTCATCCCTCACATGAAACAAACATTTCAGTACATAATTCATACAGGGACAATCCCACAGGAAATGCTTACAGCCCATGTGGCCACATTGCCCAAACCGGGGAAAATACCAGACAAAGGACAGAACCTACGCCCAATTTCACTTCTCAACACAGACGTTAAATTACTGGCGAATATATACTCTAATAGATTAGCCACCATACTTCCAGATCTAGTGCATGAAGACCAGGTCGGCTTTGTAAAAGGAAGGCAGGGCACGGACGGCACTAGGAAGGTTTTGGATATACTATACAGCTTACACAAACAAAAAACGGGATGCCTATTCATGTCACTAGATGCTGAAAAGGCTTTCGATAGGCTGAACTGGGACTTTCTCAGAGCAACCTTAGCGAAATTTGAATTCCCATCAGCGTTCATGAACATTCTACAAGCACGCTATAGTAACCCCACCGCCAGAATCACCAACGCAGGATTCCTCTCAGACCCATTCAGAATCACGAACGGAACCAGACAGGGATGCCCCCTCTCACCCCTGTTATATGTGCTAGCGCTAGAACCCCTTACGACCCTCATTAGACAACAACCATCAATCATGGGCGTCAAAACAAAAAGCAAAGAACATAAACTCACACTATTCGCAGACGACATATTACGGACGATACAAGACCCAGAGGCCTCTCTACCACACTTTCATTCCATACTAGAAAACTACAGTAAAATGTCCTATTACAAACTGAACATATCCAAGACACAAGCCCTGTGCAAAGGACTCCCTCTAGACATTACCCATAGACTAAAGAACACCTACACATACGACGGGAGAACCGACTACATCACATTCCTAGGTATACGCTTCACAAAATCACATACCGCATTATTTAACGCCAACTACGGCAAGCTAAGCATAGAAATAAAAAAACAGCTACAAGATTGGAAAACATCATTCATATCCTGGTCAGGCCGCATAGCAGCAGTCAAAATGATAATCCTCCCCAAGTTATTATATCTATTCAGATCTCTAACGATTCATATACCCTCCACTTATTTTACCACAATCCAACGCTGGGTAACCAGATTCGTATGGAATGACAAAAGAGCACGTATAGCCCTAAAGGTAATGCAAATGCCATTCAAAGAAGGGGGCATGAATATGCCAAACCTCAAACAGTATTACCATGCAACGATACTAAGCAGCATCATCCAAGCAAGACCAGGTACACACGCACCACAATGGAAGCATCTAGAAGCAGAATGGGCTGACAATGCTAGCACTGACAGTTTAGTGTGGATACCAAAACACAAACGGCCGCAAATGCAGGACTGCCTACCGACCACAACATTATCCCTAAAAATCTGGGATGGGGCCCGGCCTACCCTAACAAATGATTCACTCATCTCCAAAGCCATGCCACTTAAGTCATTAGCGTACATTATCCCGGATTTTAACTACAGAATATGGGAAAGACACGGCATAAGATTCCTACACCCAGGGGCGTACCTAGAGCATTTGGCACCCGGGGCGGATCCTGTGCGTGGCACCCCCCAACCCCCCAAAAAAACCCCCAAAAAACAAACCTGTAAAAAATGTTAAAGGTTTTCTTTAATTAATCCACACTCCTTAATTAAACCATACCCCTTAATTAATCCATACCCCTTAATTAATCCACACTAATTCATCCACACACCCTTATTCTACCCCCTTAATTGATACACACACCCTTAATTAATCCACACTAATTAATCCACCCCCTTAATTAATCCACCCCCATAATTAATCCATCCCCCCTTAATTAATACACCCCACTTAATTAATACACCCCCCTTAATTAATACCCCCCATAATTAATACACCCCAATAATTAATCCACCCCCATAATTAATACACCCCCATAATATACACCACCCCCATAATATACACCACCCCCATAATTGATACACCCCCATTATTAATACAACCCCATTATTAATACAACCTCCCATAATTAATATACCCCCATAATTAATAAACCCCCCATAATTAATACACCCCATAATTAATACACCCCCCCATAATTAATATACACCCCCTCCTTTCTCTCACCCTCCTTTCTCTCTCACCCCCCTCATTTCATCTCTCCGCCCCTATATCTTTTCACCCCTCACTACTCTTTCTCACCCCTCATTTCTCTCTCACCCCCCCCTCCCCTCCTTTCTCACCCCTACCTTTGCTGTAGCGTGGCCGGAGCCCTGTATAGTCAGCGGGTACAGGTAGCTTTTGTTTCCTGTACCCGGCCGGACTAACAGGAAGTGCACACTCTGTATGCACTTCCTTTTAGTCCGGCCGGGTACAGGAGACAGCTGCTCCCTGTACCCGCGGACTATACAGGGCTCGGCCACGCTACTACAGAGGGAGTGACAGGAGGGAGCGCTTCCCTCCTGTCAGACCCTCTCCCCATGCTGTGCCCGTGCGGTGCGGTCCGCCCTCATGGACGCACCGCCCGGGCAAAGCTGCAGCCGCCTGAGGCTCTCTACAGAGCGCTCGGGCGGCTGCAGCATGGGGGAGGGGGCGGCGGGGCTGGTCATGGCACCCCCCATCCTGGTGGCACCCGGGGCGGACCGCCCCCCCCTTAGTACGCCACTGCCTACACCAGATAATCACTAACACGGGGCTAACAACATTTGCCACATTACAAGACTCCCACAAGTTATCAATAGTAGCACATTATTCATATCGCCAACTAGACTCATGGTTACGCACACAACTTCAGGAGAAAGCAATTAACATTAAAGCACAAAAGATGACGGTATTCGAAGAAATGTACATCAGTTCCACACCACCCCAGAAAATCATATCCTCTATCTACACAACACTACCCACAAAATGCAAACTGCACGAACACAACGCATGGGAAAAAGAGATCCACAAAACATTCACTGAATCAGAATGGGAACGCATGATCTTAACCCCCAAAACTTTCTCTTTATGCTCAAAACATATAGAGCTCGCCAAAAAACTCTTATATAGATGGTACCTCACGCCCATAAGGCTACACAAATACAACCAAGCTCTCCCAACACACTGCTGGAGATGCAAATCAAGCACAGGGACAATGGCACACATATGGTGGACGTGTCCACGCCTACAACAATACTGGAAAGACATAACCAAACTTATCAAAGACAGCACAGGGCACACTTTAACACATAATTTGGAACACTATGTGCTCTTCGACATCCCAGAGTCGTTACCCAAACCAGACAGATATCTTATATTCCATATAAATATAGCAGCCTTGGGTGCCCTAGCACAGAACTGGCTATCACAAACGATACCCTCCATCTCCATGTGCATACAACACATAAGTCAATCTGGCCACTTCGAAACCACAATGAGGCGGCAAAATACGCCTCCCAACAAACCCCATAAAAAGTACCGAAGATACTGGGAAATAGCATGGGACAAATGGGAAACGAACAAAGGCGATACAACAGGGAACCACCTGCCGTGAGACGACCTCACGACCAAAATCAGGGCCCACACAAAGACCGAACCCCCAACAAAGGCTACTTCATCACACGGGAATGTTGAATAAACTGACAACAAGGAGTACGACCACTCCAAACACCAAAAGAGGCCATACGGTGAACCCAACTTGTAGTTTGAACAACCCCTAAAAACCCCCCGGAACTTATCAGACCCCCCCGAGTAGACATAACAAATGTTACTACCAAAGCATTAGGAAAGGCCCTAACCCTCTCATTCAATTCACAGATGTGGAATGTACAAATACCAATTGTCAAATATTAATTGTCAAATATTAAATGGTAATATATGCACCGCTCCAACTGTGACTCAAGAGACTGTTTGTAATAAAAACCTTGTACAAATCCTTCATGGAATTGCAACCTCTTCCCCCACCCAACCCCCCGCCCCCGCTCCTTCTTTTTTCTGTACCCTCAAGTTTCTGATGAATGACAAAACAATAAAAATTGTAAAATTTGAAAAAAAATATTATACATTGCCAAATCCAGCACCTAAAATTGCATACTATAGACTGTAAACCTACATGGATGCCTGTATTCAATTTTTGGAATTTGGAATTTGGCTGACAGTTTTGAGATTTAGTACTCTGTTAAATGTAACAATTGGTTTGGGAGAAAATTACATTTAATCCAGGGAACTTGCTACCCAGTGCCGATTAAGGATCTCAGTAAAACAGTTATACCAACAACTGAATCACTTTACAAATACTGGCCACTATTATAGTGTTTACCCGCTATTCTGTACTGCCAATATTTAGTCTTAGTCAAAGGTCGCAAATGGCCAAGAAAGTCCAAGATTGCAGGATCACAGGCTGAAGACTCTTCAATAGTACCCACATCAGTACATTGTGCAATAAAGGAAGGGGGTGGGAGGGAGGGGGCAAAGGAGGGGCTTCCATAAATAGGTAAAACTCTGTCTCAATTTCTCGCCCTATTATTACATTCTAAAATAATATCAATATCATACCGATTTTCTGAAGAAAAAAAAAACAATTGGAGAGATTCATATTCAAAAGCATTCAAGAAACAAATTGTCCAAAAGAGATACTTTGTATCCATTGGTGTATTGACAGCTGAGTGCATGTAAATACCAATTAATATCTACATTCTTCTGATAAATCTTGGTGATCACTGTATTAATGGAAGCTACAAGGGTAATATCTAAAAATGTAATTTAAGTAACCATTGGAGTTAGGAGTGAATCGCAAATTGGAGTTAGGAGTGAATCTCAGACAATAGGTATTCCCCACTCACATTCTCAATTAGGGCCCCCACCCGCCATTCAGGGGTGGGGGCCGGGGGGTGGAGGACAGTAGGTCCCCCCCACAATCTCATTTAGGGCACCCACTTGCCGCTCAGGGTTGGGGGCTGGGGGGAGGACAGTAGGTCCCCCCACCTTCTCATTTAGGGCCCCCACCCACCGCTCAGGGGTGAGGGCCGGGGGGGAAGGATAATAGGTCCTCCCCCTTATTGTAATTTAGGGCCCCCATCTGCTGCTCAGGGGTGGGGGCCGGGGGGAGCACAATAGGTCCCACCCACCACTCATATTCAGGCAAAATACCATATTTAGTCTAATATGATAGAGTAGGTTAATGTAAACCTGGACAACATTCAAACACAGTAAGAGCAATAAGATGTTATTAGCAAAAACATTACAAACCGTAATAATGACCAGTGTATTAAATTATCTCTGACTGAAGAAATCTTATAATAGATCTAGTTATAGGAAAGACACATCTTGGGATCATAATAAAATCTGCATTATTATAGCTATGAAGTTATTGTTGTGAGTTCAACCCTAGCCAGACTCTGTATAAAGCCTTTTATCGAGACATTGTGAAAATTACAGGTCAGAATGTAGCACAACTAGCTAAAATGAAATATGGGGGGGGCGCAATAAATATTATAACGCATACACATATTTGTTTACAATAATGTTAAAGCATACCTTTTGGGACAGAAATCACTTTGTAAAGCTGGTATAATGCATAAACATTAATATAGAGGCAAGAAAATCAAGAATGACAAAAGCATAAATGAATGCAATAAAAAAATAGACCACAGGTATGGAGAATCGACCAATCAGTGTAACATTATACAATAACACTGACAAGCCTTAAAAGGATAAACTCCCACTACTGACAGAAAACAAAACTGATTACACTATCTATACAATAGGTCTAATAAAAATGAATTAATTAGCACACTAACTTCTTATATTGAAGAGTAAAGTATACCTGCCAACCATTAAACTATCAATTACACAAATATTCACATACACTGTAAAATTCATTATAAAAATAATTCCTAGCCAAAACATAAATATACAAGTCATAATAAAAATTATAAATAATTTAAAAAAATAGTATTCACAATGTCACAAGTTCTACATTCTCATTAGACCATTCGGAGTGAGTATTTCCAAGCTATACATCAACTTAGTCTCAGCTCTTAATTTAAGTCTCTTTCTCTGAGAATGAGAGCCTATCGGTGGGATCCACTTAGTCCCCACAATCGATGATGACATAGGGTCAGCTGTAGGATATTATTTAAAATCTGCAGAAATAATATTACCAAAGGAAGGTTGGACAATCGATCTACAATGCTCCCTAGATGGATTTTTAATTCTTCTAAAGGTCTGGCCTACATACTGTAGACCACAACCACATGCCAGAAGATACGCCACATACCTACTGCTACAGGGAAACATTAACATTAGATGAATTAGAAAACAAAGTAAAATTACTGGTCTGAAGTTAAATATTATACATTGCGTCGGGGGCGTGGCTACCGGCGGAGCAAGATGGACGTGTAATTCTTAGCTCCTGCACATGGGCTCCAACAAAGGCGTCTCAGCACCCGAAATAGACGACCCAGACACACAGAAAACAACTATGTTGCAACCTAAACAAAAAAGACAAGCCACCAAAGCCGAAAAACAAAATTTGGGACAAAATGCAGCGCCGACCAGACAAACGATCCAGCCGCACCAACAAGATGGCGGATAAGAAACACACGATGGCAACCCCTTCACTGACCCAGCCGACCAGACAATGGAGGAGCCGGTCACTAAACAATTCCTTCTGGAACAACTGGGAGCATTCTCCAGCAAAATGATGGCTGGCTGGGAGGCGGGCCTATCAAGCCTAAGAAAGGATATCGGAGAGCTGGGAGCGAGAACCTCCCGCGTGGAGGAGAGAATGGAGGAAACTCAAGAAGCACACAATCACTTAATAGACCAAGTAAATACATTGCAAGTGACCATATCCACAATGGAGAACAAGCTCATGGATATTGAAGATAGGGCGAGGAGAAATAACTTACGATTGTGGGGCATACCGGAAACGGTGGCCCCCGCGGACCTCCAGGCCTATCTGCACGAATTCTTCCATGTGCTCTCACCGGATACGCCATCGGCTATGCTACTCCTGGACAGGGCACACAGGATACCCAAACCTCAACACCTACCACCCTCTGTCCCCAGGGATGTAATCTTGTGCGCTCATTACCACCATATTAAAGAAATCATACTGAAACAGAGCAGAAACAATAAGAACATCCCCAGCAAATATACTGACATAAAGATATTCCCGGACTTGTCAGCCGCAACGCTGAGAAGGAGGAAAACCTTCCAACCCATCACCACCATCCTCAGGCAGCAGCAAATAGCCTACCGATGGGGTTACCCCCTCAAGCTTCTCATCTCCAAAGAAGGCGCGACGAAGGTACTCAACTCACCGGAAGATGGAGAAAAGCTCCTCCGAGAATGGAATCTACCCACACCGAGCAAACCGACAAGAGAAACAGCCGCGCTGCACCGAGAATGGCGAAAAGCATAGTAACCATAGACTTATACCAGCCACTCTGCACTACTAATATGATATAACACGTAGAGGTTGGTAATGTATATAGAGAACCAATTGTTTATGTTTTATGTTTTTTGTTAACTTTGATGTAATTCAACCCGCATAATTTACCTGTATAGACAACACATACTAGCACGCCAATGAATACCCGAACCCCGAAATGCCAAAGATTATGCCCCACTCAGTTTAGATCTACTCCCCTTCTAACTGGGAACATAAACCTGATAACCCACACCTAAGACAAGAGGGTTATGAATAACCTATTAACCCTAGCACGCTAGAGCTGACGCGGTGCTAATACGCAGGAGCAAAACTAGATACACCAAAATCAGATTGACTATCTAATATTCTAAAGCTGAAAAGTCCAGAGGACAAAAAAAAAATAAAAAAAAATTAAAATACAATAATACTAATAATAAACCACTATATATTATAGATAGGCAACCCACACAGCCAGAGTACGGGCACGCACACGACAACTATGTTGCCCCATAAATTAAACGCAGCACAGACAAGTCAGCATATGCAGAACAAGGAGCAGTAGCACAGTGACGAGTAACAAGGTACTACGAAATGGAACTGATAATAAAGTATGCTCACACCCTTTCCCACTTCAGCTCTAACATCACGGTACTGCACCAGAAATCCTAATCAGGCGATCGCCAGCAGAACATACCTATACCACCCAGAGCACATTAGACAAACACAAAAAAGGGACACTGACCTGGCATTCATTTCGGGGGACATGACATGACTTAAATAATGAAGGAGCCCAGGTAGCCTCCTTCGTGAGCAGAACACACATGCTCACCACACCCCAGGTACTACCGAGGAGTACCAAGCCCCACACCTGGGCATTGTTGTACATAGTTGAGTTCTCGACGAGACTCATGTTTCCACCCCACCAATCCCTAACCCCAGTTGCAAACCACAAGAACAATTACGGACCCACTCTGCCCAAAACTACACAAGCTAAGCAAACAGCCTGCTCATCAACCATCACACCAAGGCAAGCTCTCACTAAACCTTAAACTATACTGCTCACCAACTGACGATAAATTTAAACTAGACCAATCCCATAATGAAAATATACTCGCATAATGTTCGGGGACTAAACTCTCCCCAAAAACGCCAAATACTGCACACAGAACTGAAAAACCATAATGCGGATGTGATCTGCCTCCAAGAAACTCACTTCAAAGGACAGAAATCACCATCTATAGACCTCAAACAATTCCCAAACCAATACCACTCTACACAAATCCAGAGGAGTCAGCATCCTAGTACACAAATCAGTCGCATTCGAGCCAATCAAAATAGTCAAAAACGCCAATGGGAGATACCTTATACTAATATGTAACCTCAATGACGTCACATACACCATAGTCAATATCTACGCACCAAACGACAATCAATGGCACTTCCTACAAAAGATACTGACTAAAGTGAGCAACATACAACAAGGCATATTAATATACTGTGGAGACCTGAATCATATCCTAGACCCCGAAATGGACACTACACTAGACGCAAAAAAACCCAGATTGAAATCTCTCAGGCCGGCCTGCTCCAGACTTAACAAACTGCTAATACAATTTAACTTATACGATGCGTGGCGCACACTGCACCCTGGAGATAAGGACTACACTTATTATTCCCAAGTGCACAAGACCCACTCCAGGATAGATCATTTTTTCGTGACCAGCACAGGACTACCACAAACACATCAATGCACACACGGTCACATAACATGGTCTGACCATGCCCCAGTGATACTGACACTCACTGACGCATTCTCGTACAAAGGCAAGGGCTCATGGAGACTGAACAACTCACTGCTCCACGACCAAGAATTCATTCTCACACTAGAACAAGAACTTAAACATTACTTTATTACTAACGATGACCCCCAGACCACGGCCCCGATCCTATGGCAAGCACACAAACCAGTTATACGGGGACTGATGATTCGCAGAGCATCATATCTCAATAAGCAAAAGCGAGCAGCACTTATGAAACTGCTCATACAGCTAAGAGATACCACCCAAACTTACTACCAAACAAAACAACAGGATCTCCTGACGGAAATCCAAACCATAACCACCAAAATTAATGAACACCAATTCCAAAAAACGGCATACACCCTGAAAAGATTTAAGATGAACCACTATGCGAAAGGGAATAAAGCTAGCAAACTATTGGCCAACATGCTACGCAAAAAGCAATCTAATGCTAAGATCCCATACATCCTCACAAAAGATAACCATAAACTCTGGAACCCACAAGACATGAATAAAGAACTAGTGACCTATTACAGCACCCTCTATAACTTAAGGGAAGACAAAACCCTACACCAACCAACCGTTTCAGACATTGAGGGGTACCTACAGCGGATATCACTGCCAACCCTGACAAACGAACAAAAAAACAAACTGTCTGAACAAATCTCGACAATAGAACTGAAAGACGCTATCACCAGACTACCTACAGGGAAATCCCCAGGCCCAGACGGATTCACAAACCAATATTACAAGACCTTTGCACCTATACTCATCCCTCACATGAAACAAACATTTCAGTACATAATTCATACAGGGACAATCCCACAGGAAATGCTTACAGCCCATGTGGCCACATTGCCCAAACCGGGGAAAATACCAGACAAAGGACAGAACCTACGCCCAATTTCACTTCTCAACACAGACGTTAAATTACTGGCGAAAATATACTCTAATAGATTAGCCACCATACTTCCAGATCTAGTGCATGAAGACCAGGTGGCTTTGTAAAAGGAAGGCAGGGCACGGACGGCACTAGGAAGGTTTTGGATATACTATACAGCTTACACAAACAAAAAACGGGATGCCTATTCATGTCACTAGATGCTGAAAAGGCTTTCGATAGGCTGAACTGGGACTTTCTCAGAGCAACCTTAGCGAAATTTGAATTCCCATCAGCGTTCATGAACATTCTACAAGCACGCTATAGTAACCCCACCGCCAGAATCACCAACGCAGGATTCCTCTCAGACCCATTCAGAATCACGAACGGAACCAGACAGGGATGCCCCCTCTCACCCCTGTTATATGTGCTAGCGCTAGAACCCCTTACGACCCTCATTAGACAACAACCATCAATCATGGGCGTCAAAACAAAAAGCAAAGAACATAAACTCACACTATTCGCAGACGACATATTACTGACGATACAAGACCCAGAGGCCTCTCTACCACACTTTCATTCCATACTAGAAAACTACAGTAAAATGTCCTATTACAAACTGAACATATCCAAGACACAAGCCCTG